GATACTCATGCGAAGGGCCAACTCTTTCTTGGTGTACCATTTGGAGAGGTAAAATAGAACACCTGCAAAGAATGGTGCCTCGACCAAGCCGAGAATGAATCGACATGCCACGATGCCACCGTAGCTTGAGACCTGGCTGGTTAAGGCCGAGACAAGGCCCCACGCTGTGGTGAAAAAGCCAAGGTAAAGCGAAGGACGGCCCATGTAGTTGAGGAGCAGGTTCGATGGGACCTGCATCAGGATATAGCCCACAAAAAGAATGGATAGTCCTGTCTCGTATTTGGCTTCATCGAGGGAGAGGTCCTGTTCTAATCCTTGAAGCTTCGCAGCGGCGTAGTTATTCCTATCAAAGACGGAAAGAAGTTAGCGCATAGTATATCATAGTCATCTAATGGCGAGAAAACCTGAGACGTACCGGTCGATGTAATTCATCAGATAAACAAGAATTACCAACGGCATTATGAGAGTATCAATCCGCCGCCGCAATTGCCTCTCCAAAACCTTCTCCTCCGGCGTCAACTGTGCTAAATGAGCAACCTCCTCATGGGAGATCTCGGCTTTTTCGCCCATGGCGTCATGGTCGGTGATGACTCTGTCCGCCATGATGAAATTTCTGGGAGGTGAGTCAAGATGCAGGGAGAGGCAGGGTGCAGGAACGATCCTGTTGCAACCCCATAAAGAGAGGGAAAGCTTCAGCTATATATGCCCCAAGAGAAGGAAAGAAGCTTGTTGCTTCGTACGGTGTGATCGAGCTCCCATGAAACACATGAGAAGAGTGATGCCACCTGCAAATCCGGGGGAGGGGCTGGCGTGGGGGGAAATTTCCATCCACCTTGGGCCATCCAGGGTCCTGGTTGGACGCACGCAGATGCCGGAGAGCATCACAAATGCGGGGAAGACATTTAGAATTCGAACCAGAAGCTGTTCGGCTGATTCTCACCCCCACGCCGCTAGCTACCACCCGTGCTATTCTTCTTCATCCATCGTGCGACAGGAGCTTTGGAGTCGGACATCGTCCGGGGAAGTGGAGCTGATCGACTCATTGGTGTGTCTCGGGCCTCCCCTGACGCTTCGTATCTTTGATCCTATAACACGGGTATGATATGGGTCAGGGAAAGTTTGTTTGAAATCCCCGCCGCTAGCAACGAATCGACGTATACTTGGCGGTTCCCCAAGTCGCTGGGATCCACTGTCCATGGCTCCATCCTCGGGGGAGAATAGTCGCCTGTGTCGCAACTTGCAGTCTCGCTGTACACAAGTCCGCTCGGGGAGATATGCATTTTTGGTCATGCTGGCAAAAAGGTTAAGCTCCCGTGTTTGTTCCCCTCAAAGGACGGCGAGGATTGGCTCGCAGGATTTCCGTGCAGCTCCACGTTCTGGGGTAATGGTTGGTGATGTCGTCACACTCTGCATGTCGGCATTTCTTTCTGGTCGGCGATTTGCCGGTTTCATGCAGTACATCATGTGAGTCTCAGTCAGGTGATCCGTTATCACTTACACACTCTCAGGCTGAAGCAGGTACTATGACCATGCCTGCTGCACTTTAGTTGCTATTTATGAACGCTGGTAATATCCTCTTCTTATCGGGTTACCTCGCACTGTTCCGTGGTGGTGCAATGGTCGAGTGGTATCACTGATAGCACTGACTCCAGGACATAGCTATAGAGGGTGTACCTCTATACCTATAGGTCAGAGATACCTCAATTCAGATCCCACGACAACAAATGCAGACAGCAGTGAAGCGCATGCAACAACTTATCAACTTTCATCTACTAGGAATCTGGCCCTGCAATTATTCAATTATCTTTCAGTTCTTCAACAAAAATGACCACCGTGTTTAACATGCGCCTACCGCCTTGTAACAGCCTCAGAAATTGAGGATAGATAAGTTCTTGTACTTACTACTCGAGAGAAAGATTGCAAAGATGCCCAGTCCTACTCCTCTTCGCCCCGTGTTGATCAATACCACTATCAGTACTACTACCAACTGACTGTCGCCCCACGAAATTGTCCGCGGTCACAAAACTAGGAGTTGCCACTGCTTGACCAGTGTCAAGCGATAACCAGTTATTGATGACAAGATGAACAAACACGTCCATGGCCGTAAGGGGGTATCGAGATCCTATTTTTGCAAAGAGGATACCAGTGTGGCTACTCTACAATCCAGCTGAAAGCCGCATGAACAAGAGATTACTGCCCAACTGCGGTAACGTGGCGCTCCGCGGTGAATTGGGATGATTGGAGATTTTTGTGTAACTCCTGCTCTGATTCTACCTTGCCTCCCGAGTATGGACGCGTCTGGGGCCATGACTCGTAAACAAGTTCAGGCTTAAGTGTATTATCACTTCCTCTGACTTCTGGAGACAGACACAGTCAGTAGAAGGACGCATACATGGCGTTGCTCAAATCTATATACTACCAGATAAGCCTTAGCCAAGTACACTCCAAGCTCAAAATGTCGTCAAATTATCCGCAAGGGATATATCTTCTTGGGGGTTCCAACAAGTTAAATGTGGCGTCAACTCTCCTTGCACCAACTGTCTTCATTCCTGCATGCAGGGAAATGCAGCCCAGCCTGGAAGAGATAGGGAAAACTGCATCCAACCCAGCACTGTATATACTGTACTTAGTCACTGCTCAGGCTTACACGTACTTCAGATAGCAGTAAGGAACGAGCTTCGGAATAAAAATCTCCGTGAAACGACGTGAACAGAAACTTAATTGGGGATTGTTAACTAAGTATCTGGCAGTCTGATATAAGCAACGATAACTGATCGCATCAGGACCCTTCCCCCCGACATTTTGCACTTCCAGTTGTAGATACTTCAGTAGCAAGCGGGGAAACATTGTTTGCAAGGTATCTGGCACAGAAAGAATTTTGTGGTCTCTTTCTGGGGTTACACAGATGCTTCGTGGATACTGAGTCATGTCAAACATCTCGGAACGGGAAGGGGACAAAACATGTAACAAACTAAGTCGAAAAAATGAAAAGAAAAAAAAGAATAAAAAGAAAAATAAACCCAGATTAGAGATACCGAAAATAAGATAGAAACAATGCTGGAATCGAAAGAACAAAGAACAAGCGTCGGACCTTAAGACAACATAGCATCACACGGTGTGCGATTCGGATTGAAGGAGTGTGACACAACCGGCTTGCCATGGTTGTGGCTGGCTGATGTTAAAGAAGTCTTAACTTGCAGCTGACAAACTCGCCCGCAGCAAACATCAAACGTGCCCCCTCCGCCTTTCTTGCCCTCATCCACCCGAATTTCCATCGCAGCATTCATTTCCTGTTCTCGCAGTCTTTTGGTTAACGGTGTGGATGAAATGTTTTTCTTCTGGTCAGACTCACTTCTTCAAGGACCCTGCTCAAGCTTTCCACGCCAGCTCTGAAAGTCTATACCGTTCCGAGGAGAGATAATTTTGATTCAGGTCTACAAACTGCCCTCAATGATATTTGCGTTATAGCGCAGTTCGGAAACAAGTAGGCAACTAAAAGTCAAGGCGCGGACCATGCCTATCACCATGAAGGTCAACATCTGCATGGTGTTTTTGACGCTGTGCACAATCTCTGTATAATTCATCCAGGATGGATCCGTTAGTATGCAGCCGGTCTGGAACAATGGCTAAATACGTCACCTGCGTGATAAGTGCAATGGCACCGGAACTGCCGTAGGTTACGCAGAGGAAGCCTGGGCTAACCAGGAAGTCGGGTGCGTGGTCTGCGTTCCCTCCTTATTTCATGCATATGCATGCAAAGAACTACCACTGACAAGAGTGCGAGTGATTTAGATTGACGGAGGGGTTGAAGCAATGAGACTGAGCAATTCCGAAAGTTGTTTGGAGTGGGGGAGCAGCCAGCCACAGTAGTATAGTAATTTGACGTTGGGGGTTTCTTCCTGCCTACAGGTCTGCTCGAAGCTCTTGACGCTGTCACACCTTGCAAGTTACGCCCGTGGACATTTCTTGCCGGTTCCATGCTGCATGACTCGAGTAGTTTCATAGTACGGAGAAGCCGAAGGGTTCACTTCTACCTACCAGCTGGATTGGCCTTGAGATTCTCATGTGATTATTGGTCAGATAATCTAGACATGGCTTCAGTTCTCTCCATCTTGGCATTGTTGTTCAACTCTACTTACTTAGTACATATACTGTTCAAGCTTTTGACTCTGGATTATACTAGTTGCTTGCCTTCATACACTGTTAGTACTAGTACCTTTTCAGTGGGTTTTCGTTGCCTCCTCCTGTTTTTCCCTTAGTTGTGTTTCAATCTGTGGGTGCCATATTTCAATGATATATATATCCTACAACTACCAATACTGATTCCTTTCCAACAATATCCGTTTCTCATGACATGACGACACTATTTTCACCTACAAAAATAAAAATGGAACACCTTTACTGGATCAATCGATAAGTCTTACTGTCAAGTCACTGCTCTACTAACCAGTTATGCTTCTTGGATGACGCTAACCAGTTACCCGCCGATCGGCCTGATTGGTGCCTCAGGCTGGATACTATTTCCCGTTGGCGACCATCCACTGGATCTTTCCTGTCCTCAACATCAATTAATTGGTTACCAATGAATGCGATTGTGCTTGGTTCCATTCTTCTTCTTCCGCCCTGGATGTTCCGTGGCAATTCTGGAAGCTGTCCATTCGCGCTATGCCCAATTCACCCAGGCACCCAACGGTGGTCCCAGGACGAGCGCTTGAAGGCGACTAACTAGTCCTCCACCGAACCCACTTCTGCGGCCGCCGTCGCCTCAAGCATAGCTCGTTATTGGTCTCCTCAAGCCACAGCCAGCAACGGTTGTCGCGGGGCTCGACGTAAGCGAGGGTGGGAATTTCGGAGGAATTCGGTCATGTCTGCTCAGATCTTGCTGGTCGTGATCTCGCCGTTCTGTTGGCCCCGTATCCGCTCAAGCTTGACGTTGACCTTCCCCTATCGTGACATCGTGGCCTGGTACGACTGGAGCTCATTGTCTAGGCTTGCCGCACATGGCCACCCACGATTCGCAGCCAATATTGGTCTCCGATCACCTCCGGAGTAAGCCCGCCCTTACGTCGGGTCAATTGACCCGTCAATTGCGATCCTGCAAGGCCTGCCGGTTCCGGAAAGTCAAGGTGCGTCCCGACCCGATACTAAGGTGTGGACATGGGTCTCCGTTATGGGGGAATAGAACAAGACAGTCGTGCAGACGAATGGGATGATGGAGGAAACAAGAATATGGAGCGAACTGCGCTGCTAGTTGGGTGGGAGGAGGCCCGTGCAACCCACTTTGCTGGCTTACCTGCATATGTGTAATCCGACCTAATTGACGATCGTGAGAGACAGTGTGATCGAGTCAAGCCCTGTCATGCATGCTGTGCGCATGGTCACCCATCCAAATGCCACTACGATACCAGTCCCGAAGATTTCCTGCAACCCATCAGTCAAGCCGATGAGATCCGTAACCTCCGGGAGGAAATCCGTGAGCTAACAGCCAGCCTTCATAACTGTGGTGCGTGCCCCAGGTTGGATCCCGGATAGTCTCGGTGGGGTTGGAGGTGCTTCTGCAGCGTGAAGAATTGACATTGGCGTTCTAGAACAACGGGTCAAGTCTTCACGGCGACGAGCCCAGCTACAAGGCCTCGTCAACGCCGTCCGCTTAGCCCCGCCAAATGCCGTCAATCGACTCATCGCCCAAATCCGAAAGCATCGTGGGGAAACAAATGAAGTGGCAATCCCGGTGGGACCTTTGAATGGATCGGAAGGTGGGTGTCCGTCGCATCCTGGTGGGGTACAGGCTATTGTTTTGAGGGCTAAGTTGTCATGATCCGCAGCAGAACATGGCCCGGTCGTTCTTCGTCGGTCCCATTCATACGATAGCGACGACGATTCACTGGATTCGGAAGACGAGGTGTTCTCGCTCTCCGGCAGTCGGTCTTCATCAGAAGAGAGCGAGGACTCAAGCTATGGTTCGATAAGTCACATTGGATCGTGGAAGCCGATGCTGGATGTGTTTATTGAACGCTTCGTGGATGCTTTCAGTCCGGTAGTCCAATCCAAGACAGGACAGGCTGGTGCACTACGACGGGCTGCCGAGATACGCATGTTTTCGCCGATTCTCGTAGATGCGTTCGAATCCGTCTCCATAGCATACTTTGGACGGTCTATTCAGGATAAGAATCTTGAAGCAGCTGGCTTCCGCCTATACCCCCGTGTGCTGCGGAGTTTGCAGCAGGCGTTGCAAGATCCCCAGCGCAGCAAGGCTGAGTCGACACTAGTGACGGTGACCCTTTTGATGGCATTTGAGGTATGATTTTCTTCCTTTTTTCCTTTCTTCCTCTTTTTTTTTTTTTTTTTTTTTTTTTTTTTTTTTTTTTTTTTTTTTTTTTTTTTTTTTTTTTTTTTTTCCCCTCTAGTAACTGTCCTGACTGCTTGTAGAGCGTGGAACGAACTACACAAGTGTCGCTAATTGCGCACGTTCACGGTGCACTGCGCCTGATTGAGCATCGAGGACCAGAAAATCACATACATGGGGTGGAGCATTTGCTGTATACCGAGCTGCGTCCTTATTGGGTACGTATTCAATCCAGCCTTCAAGAATCTAGTCGCTCAGATAAAAACAGGTCGCTGCGGCTATTGTCAGTCGAACTCCTTCCGCCCTCGCAAGCCCGGACTGGATCAACTTGCCTTGGTCAGCCAACCCTGACCGAAGAGACATTCTGCATTATTTGCTAGACTTGGCGGTTGAGATTCCTGGCCTGCTTTGGCAATTTGACGATATCGAGGCTGCTCTCAAATCGGGCATGTACAGCCCACATGAGATTAGCGTGAAGCAAGCCTCACTGTGGAGCGGTGTCGCTGACCTGACCGACCGCTTCCGCCAGTGGAAAGTTCAATGGGTTGATAACAACCCGGATGGGCCACCGCAGGAAGTCGAAGTCTCAGCGGATGACCCATTTCCTCGATTCCATTGCCGGGACTTTCGTACCGGGGGTATAATCACACCCCCGATATTTGTCTATCGGGACCTCCGCCTCGCACAAACCATGTGTCTTTACTACTCCACCCGATTGATCCTCTCGTCCGCCGACACGCGCCCAACTGATCGCGTTGGACCTTTGGAACAATACTCCCTGGGTTGTGGCATATGCCGGTCCTTGGAATGGTACATTGTCAATGCGCCAGGAAACATGATCAACCGACTTGCGTTCCCAGTTAGGGTGGCCTGGGAGGCGTTCCCGGATGGAGGTCCGGAACGGCAGTTCATGTACGAAGTGTTGAAACTGGTTGAGCGGCGGCATGCCCTAGGTCTTTGGGGAAGTAACATGTCTGAGATTTCTCCTCGGGCCGGACCCCCACGAAGTCAGTCTCCTGAGTTGGCCACAGGGGCATGATAGATGGGGAAATATGAAGTCTGTGGGTCGCTGGACGAATCCCACCGCATGTATCCGGTTTTGCCCGTCTCCGCATCGGCCGGTGGGGGTGCTTTTTCAGTAGCATCCGATAAGCAGTGCAGCTCTGCTCAGGAGAGTATGCCTTTTCGGGGTTTCACCGTCTCTGTTGGGGATGCCTTCTTGACTGATCGAGAGATACCTACGGAAAAAGGCTTCCAAGCAGCATGCAAACCTCCCATCAGTAACTGCTCAGTCAGATACCTAAAGGTTTGACTCTCCATATGGGCATGGGTACTTTAGACGAAGGAACACTGAGCTTGTGAGTGGCTCAACATCTGCCTTGGCATACCCACGGAGTCTGGGCAGCATGTTCCATATTAATGGTGAATAGATCACTTCAATAATAACCGGACAGGATTGGGATCCTGTCATGTAATTAGGCTTCTCAACCAAAAGGCTACCTGAATATAGCCTAATCAGCACCAGAGCCAAGTTTTCTTAGAATTTCAGGCCTAGGCCAGCCGCGTCGATGCATTTCATCAGGTCGCGCCAATTATATTTGATGAAAACTTAGTAAGCGGCATCAATCTCCCCGGAATTTGACGGGCCCCATAACAATAGGGGCTCAGGGGCGTGGTTGATCATTGGTTTATAAGTCAATTCCTTATAGGGCTACATACGGGTGGAATAGTGAACCGTATCACGGCTCGCAACCGGAACAAGCCCGTTCTTTATGCCGCGAGATAGCGAAATGATCGTAGCTCAATAATCGCCAATCCATCACTATAGTACAAAACGCACACCGGAAGGTTAGTTTTTGACTCTGACGTGTTCAGCTGTGTAGGTTCGAAAAGGACTTGTGGTGAGCACAGTTCGAGGGCGGCATTATTTAACGTTTCAACTCAAAACAAGCTTGATTGCCGACTCCACTCCCTGGCGGATCCACCATTGCTCCTGAGACAATAATTGCGCCAGAACGGATTTGAACCCTTCCTGGGTTCAAGGTGGAGATAGCCTTCATCTCTAGCAGCCTTCGAGACCCTTTATAACTGGGCTCCCGGCACCTTGGTGATCATGTCGGCTCATTGCTTCATCCTTCCTGCACTCGTTCATTTTCCTGCCTTGTCACTCTTTTCTCCGCGACCGGTTCGCTTCAACCCTTACTTTCTTTAACAAAGTCCTCTATATCAATCATCATGCGCTACTCCTCTGTCGCTATTCCTCTGGCCCTCGCTGCCCGCGCCGCTGCCGTCGAGAGTGATGTCTGGGCCTTCGGAAACGGCTTCTACACCGGTCCTCCCACCAACGCGCACATCACCAGAGCCACCTGGTCCTTGGTGCCCCCGGATGTTCCCTCGAACTACACCGTGAAAAACACTGACGATGAAGTCTGGGTGTCCCTGTGGATTGGTCTCTCCTCCACCGCTGGTGACTATGACGCCGATCTCTACCAACCCCTGCTGAACTGGTCTCCCGACAACGAGTCCCAGTACGTCCATCAACTCCTTCATGATCTGGAAAGTAGAATGCTAACGACAGAAGGGGCTGCCCCGCCCCAGATGACGAGTGGTGTGTCGCCGCTAGCACGTACACTCCCGGTAAGTGATCCCAGCCTCCAACCGGGGACCCGAACTGGTATACTGATGATGTGTTTAGATGGTCAGAATGGCCAGGCCTACGTGACTGTCCCCGCGGACACCCAGGTCGACTTTGAGGGTATGCTCAAACACTAGCCCGAAAACCATACGAATCACTGTCCTAACAAGGAATACAACCAGTCTACGTCGAAAACGACAAGGTCTACCAGGTCGTCACCATGAACGGCAAGACCGTCTCCAAGGAGAGCGACGGTAATTTCTCTCTACTACCACCTTCAGATCAATGGACATAATACTAACTGAAGATATAGCCCTCGACAACCCCCTCCTCTACCTCTACTCCGGAGACGAGTGCTACACCGGCTCCGGTGACTGCGGTACCCTCCAGTCCTACAGTACGCTCCTCTTCTCCCCCACCAATCTCTTAACAAATAAAAGACCTAACATGGAAATCTCTAGGCTGGAACAACCTCACCATCCACCTCAGCGCCGCCGACGAGAACTTCGGCGACACCCTCTCGCTGTACAGCGGTTCCTCCTCCAACGGCCTCACCACCTCCGACAAGGGCAAGACCTGGCACACCGATGCCATCAAGATCTCCAAGGACACTTTCGCCACTGTTTCCGACTACTAGGCTGAGATGGATTGGAGCTGGTTGATGGTGTATGTATGTATGTATGTGATTGGGGATATTGCGGCTGCTAGACAGCTGCAATTTTGCTTCTTGTTTTTACCTCGTGGGAGGGATGTATAAAATCGAATAAAATGTATATGTATCGAAGTCATGGATGGAGTATTGACGTCGTTGCAAGTGAGATAAGGCGATGATCAATATTAAAGATTTTGTAAGCTACTGGGAATATATCTATGCAAACTAGCTTTCGAGGCTAGGGTGGTTCGTGGGGGTGTTGGGTTACAGGCTTTCACGGCCGACCCCGGGAGCTTAAGTTCGGTGGGTTTGGCTCGTTGTTTGCGGGTGGGGTACTTATATACTTTGGGGAATTTCCCGGAGGTGTCACTGTAACCAATCGATGCTGGGTGGGAGTCCTTGCCGATGGTGATGTGGGTGTTGTATGCATGTGTGCATATGGTCTACTATTGAGCTGCAATGCGTGGACGTGGTAGGTAATTAAGGTGGAATTAGGAAATGTATATAGGTAAATTGATATTGTCTATCATAATGCGGCTTGGTAGTAGTCTTATAGGCAAGGACACTAACAGCTTGGTTCTCTGGTCCTGGTATGTACATCTCTCTCTGGCCAATATGTGTCTGTCCATCAATACTCAAGTGTCTGCTTGATCGCATCGTATATCCCTGGGTATCGTTAGTATATTTCAGACGTGCATGGGATAGATATACATACGCGCAACATCCGGAATCACAAACTTCTCATACATCAAGCCCGTATGCGTACTCCACCCCGCGACTCTCTTGACCGGTGCTTCTAGACGCAAGAATGCCCCGTCCTGGATGGTAGCAGCCACCTCAGCGCCGACGCCATAGTTGATCATGCTCTCGTGGACGACTATCGCGCGTCCGGTCTTCCGCACACTATCCAATACTGTTGGTCGATCCCACGGGTAGATCGTGCGCAGATCAATTAGCTCGATACTCGCCCCGAATGCCCTCTCCGCTGCTTCGATGGCCGCGGAGCAGAGGTATAGAGGCTGTCCGTACGAGACTATCGTCAGGTCGTTTCCTGGCTTAACCACTTCCGCTGTGTTTAGTGGGATGGTGTAGTACTCGCTGGGGACGTGTTCTACTGCGGCACGATAGAGGATTTTCGGTTCCATGAAAATGACGGGATTCTTAGACTCGAAAATCGAGGATAGGAGTAGGCCTTTGGCTTGGGATGGGGAGCGAGGCATGACGACTTGTACACCTGGGACGTGTGCGAATAGTGCTTCCGGTGATTGGGAGTGGTATCTGTTTCGTGATAATCCACGTTAGCCATACAGTTCCCCCGTACACAAGAAGCAATAGTAGGCGGGAGACGGTATGCCACCTACAAAGCACCATGTCCGACCGCACCACACGGCATCCGCACCACCATACCCCCAATATCTACCCCTGTTGCTCCCTCCCGGAACCGAAACTTCGCTGCCTCGTTCACAATCTGATCGAACGCCGGGAAAACGTAGTCTGCGAACTGGATCTCCGCAACGGGCTTCATTCCCTGGGCTGCTGCGCCGATGGCAAAGCCGACAATCCCTTGCTCTGTTAGGGGTGTGTTGAAGACTCGTTCCGAGCCGAATTCAGTCTGTAGGTCCATCGAGCAGCGGAAGACGCCGCCGAACGCGACGTCTTCGCCGAAGAGCATCACCTTGTTGGAGGTGGAGAGGGCGGTACGTAATGCGGAGTTGATGGCTTGATAGAGATTGATAGATTTTGAGGTCGGATTGCTGGGGAGGTCTGGGTGGTTTGAAAGGCTGGAGGCAGTGTGGTGGAGGAGCGGTGTCGATCTGTAGTCGATGGGGAGGTTCAGGCGTGAGGAAGGGGATGGTGCGGAGGTGGAGTATCCCCGGTAGGAGGCTCGGGGTATTGGTATTTTGGGGAGATGGAGTGAAGGCATCGTGGACAACTCAGGAGAGGTTGGAGGTTCAGATAGTAGAATGAGAACGTCTGGAGAACGATGGAGGTACGGGGAAAGACCTCCCTCCCCCTTGGTTTATCAATAAAGGCATCTTGCTTCATGCGGGGAATGCGCCCCGATCCCCGTGGATAACCGGGGTTGACGGCCTGAGTGCCTTGGTGCCTGAGTGCCTGCCGGGGAGGCTGAGTCAGCATATCTGGTGGTTGCCGGATTGGGACAGCCAGGTGAATCTATACCCTCGTCTGCATTAGGTCTCACTACCTTTGCTCCTCTGCATCTTTCTCCATTCTCATCTCAATGTAGCATTTTCCATCCAAGTCGTGATATCCTTATGGCCAATGGTTTACCATCTGAATGAATCGCTCTCAAAGCACCAGCAGTGCCCTGGCACGCTCTGGACAGCCATGACGATCCCATGCTGTGAGCGTCCTAAACACTGCGTTATCCACTTCACCGTCGTAAACACATAATGGACTAACTCCATGTCCTCTTCAGATGATCTCCTGTCCTACATCCATCGATCAAGACGTGAAAGTTTGCAATAAACCAGTAATGCTCCCAATGACATTTTGGAATGAGGGTATCATATATACAGATTGAGACAGATATATACAACGGAGCGGCCTGTCATATCCGATCCGCACATCAAACAGAGCCATCGCTGTCGCTAAAGGCAACCAATTGGTACTCGCTGGACCGTGAGCGACACCGACGGAAATAACGGCCCCAGCCACAGCACGTATAGAGACCAACAAACAAGCCAACTCCACTGATGACAAAGGCCATGACAATAAACCAGTACTGAGGGTTCATGACTTGCTCAAAGCTTCCACCCTGCTCTCGCTGGAGCAGTTCCGTGGCGCCTAGAACATTACCATCAGAATCTAATGCCGCTAAGCGGAACAAAGGAAGCTCGAGACCCTCGGGTATTTCGATCTCAGTCTCGAAGCCATCTTTCTGGAATTGGGACACAACACGGAACGTATTGTCATTCAAATCATCCGAGTCCCAGACTTCCAGTCGCCAAGCAACAACCTCTGTTGCACCGTTCCAGCTCACATACACGTGGTTTCCTAGTACTTCGGCGTCGGGGACCGTCTGCGGTCGGCCAACCCAGGTGCCCTTATAGGCACGATAAGATACCACTCTGCCAAACCCGAAGAAGGCAGAGGCACCGAAATGAGTGTTGCACAGCAATTGTCCGTCGGCACTGAACTCACTGAATGCAGCGCTATGGCCCCACTCGACTAGAACTCGGCCACTATCGTCCAGAACTTGGACGTTTCCTTGTGACAAGGATCGCATCTGCTGAGGATGAAAGTACTCAGCGCGCAATGACGCCTGGCGAGCGGCAACGTCAAGTTCGATGACGACACCGCGACTTTGGTTATCTGGATCATCGTTCGAATGTGATGCATTGTCGAAAAGGGTCAAGGTACTGTTGGCGTGCCACCGTGCATCATGCTGCCAGGCGAAGTTGGTGGCCTGACCATCTGAAAGATCGTTGAACTCGTTCAGCTTTCCGCCCAAGGTCCATAATACTTCACCAGTGTCCTTGTCTATGCAGCTCACGGTATGGGTATGGCGTGCGGAGACGATATAATTCCCATTGTCATCCTTGTCCACGCTATTGATGTGGTAGAAGTCAAACGCATATCCGCGCACTCGTCCCGACTTGCCCAGGTGCTCGTATGTGGTATTTATAGGATAATGTTTCGATGCGCGCCATTCGAAGATCAGCTCGCCCGTAGCGATATCTATTTCCTGGAAGACGCCGTCATATATCCAGCCTAATTCGGGGCCACCAACAGGAGTCAAGTCGGCCGGTACTGGATCGTATATCGTAACGAGAGCCGTTCCTTCGGGAGTGATGTGGAATTCATGGAGATCGCCACCATAATTTCCTACCGGAGAAATCACATATCGTTGGGTATATGTCGAATCCAACTATCCAGATCAGCACGCTTCTCTATGCGACAGGGTCGCGTGACACCTACCATGTACCAGGCCCCATAGCCTCGGCCTTCGGTTTCACCACCTTCCCAGTATGTCAGATAGTCTGTGTCCTGATATCGCTGGACCTTGAAGTCCTGAGTCACGTCCCAGTTGTATTTCATCCACACCAGCTCCCCCCTGGAGTCAAGGATCATAGGCCCCGGCTGGGCCACCGAGTCACCCCTAGGGGCTAGAAAGGTATATCGCGAGTCGCAGCCCGACTCCCATTCTGAGATTTGCACCGCGGGAGATTCATATTCGAAGGAGACGTAGCTTTTCGAGGGACCAAAACCGTACAGGCCCAGATCATACCAACTCAGATCCGCGCGAAGCCTCAGTCGATTCAGTTGGGGAACGGCGAAGGTGTAGAAGAGGTAGGAGAGACTGATTATGGCGCCAATCGTAACAACATGGAGGGCTGAAAGCCTTGAACGTAGGCGATTGGCGCGAGAGAGGGCGGAAGTCCACGAGGACATTGGATCATCGCGGTAGGACAGAGCGACGAGAGCTGTCCAAGGGAAGGAGGAAAGGAGACAAACTTTCGGATCTGGGGTAAGGCGGAACAAAAGGAACTATCGGGGACGATAGTCTTCTCGGGAGCGACGGCAAGGCGCAGAGTCGGCGCTCATCATATCATCGAACTTTGCCCCCAGGCAGGTGGAATCCCAGCGAGAATAAGAATGTCTCATACGGTCGGGTTGGTCGTTCAGGAGAGGGTGGCTCCAACAGCTTCAACACCCGAAACGGATACCAAAGCGCCCCATCCACGCGGCGTCGAAGCGATCCATCGAAGCCGATATCCATTCGCGGCGGAGTCCAACGACGACGCGAACGAGTCGCAGTTGGCCGTGATTGGCTATGACCCAGCATTCTCCAGCACCGCCAAGAAAGCCACCGTGGATCCGGACCTGAAGCTGGCTCCACTATCGAGGTTATCACTTATCCTGTCCGTGAAATCTTCCCCTTCGCGCCATTGGGGTCTTTGGGACGGTCGCTGGCAATAATTTTTTCTCCACTGAGTGGCGGCACCAGCCCCAGCGTTGCGAGATACTTTCAATCTGTTGTCCTTGGCACAACAGCGCAAGATGATTTTATCTCCGAAAATACAATGGACCACGGGGTCTGAACTTCAATAGTACAGAGGTTGCCCGCGTGAGGCCAAGACAACGCTTCGGCTGTGACGATCGGCAAAAGCAAGGAAACTCAAAGTGTCTTTATCCGGGGGAATTATCTGATCTGTGGCGGACGATATCCTGCGAATGGCCTGTCCGAGTTGTGACGACTGGAAAGTGACGAGCGATAAGTGCCGCCGCTGACAGCCACTCGGACCCGCTCGCTTCGTCATCTACCGCACTATTCTTGAAGTTTACCTTTTTCCAAGGCGGATTGGTCAGCGCCCAGTTGACCAGGGTCAATGTCAATAACCACCGCGCGATTGCAGAATGCATACATTATTCCATGCGTGACACTCAATGCTTGGATCTCTTTTAGGACGCGCACTACGACCCCAGGTGAAACAGGAGAGTGCTGGAAGATCACTGGCGGACTATTGATTGAGACAACTCCTTGCCCTGCGCGTGAAACCGATTCGGCCTACCCGCTAGACTACACATGTTAATGATTGGCCCCTAGACTTACAGTGGGGCAGCACGCGTGATGAAGCCTCGGCAAGACGGCTTGCCCCCGGTTAGATAGGGTCAGCACTTTATCGCCAATGAACGATGAGCACTCAAAGTGACGCTGGTGAAGCCTGGAAGCCATTCATTATTAGCGGATCCTTCTGGAAGGACGTCCATTCCTAGTGGAAGCGGAGTGAGCTAACAGTCGGACAACTGAGCGTGATGATGTTTGTGGCTTCTCCAAAAGTCCGGAGAAATACTTTCTTGACTTGGAAGCTATAATGTGGTACAAACGCGATCTGATCCTTCGTTTATCATGGCCCCCAGTTAGCAACAGGCACACTGGCGAATGATATTGATCAAGTGCTCAACACCAAGACACCGCTCACAATCTAGCGGGAGCAGACATGGGGTACAGGCGGGGACAAAGCCAAAGACGAGACCCAAGCGCCAACAGTCAATTCCGCTTCGGCATTGATGCCATACAGGCACCTGACCAAGTATCAACAGTTTTTCAGAGCCAACAAATCAGCAGTAGGGGCTCGTTAGGCAGAAGTGATATTAAACCGGCATACCCGGAATCAAGCACAACTAGCCAGACTACTTGCAATCCCAAGATGACGCCATCGCAGAAAGTCAAACAGCATTTCGCATGCACTGCATCGTCTCATTGCCTCTGAGCTTATTTTGGCTTTGGCAACAATCGCACTGTGCTACAGGTATGATGTCTCAACTGCACCGTCAGACCAAACTGGATCTAGCATTAATTTGGTAGTCTGCCCCGAACCCGAAAATCCGAGGGTGTTTCGACCGGTGAAATGCGCACTGCCTGATCTGGTTATTGTTTGCGATCTGTCTCTGGGGATTCCAGTACACTATTCTAGGCTACTGAGGATGCTCTGACAGTAACTATTATACGGAGACCGCGGAATTATCTGTCCGTTGTCGGCCGGGCTTGGCGCTTATGCTCTTAGAGCGGGCCGAAGCGTTGGGGACAGAATTGCGCGCCCTGAGCGATCCGGGATGCTCCGGCATCAACCCTGGCCATACTGGAGGTCACTGAAAGTCCACTCCAGGTATTGGTCGAATACTATCACGTTGTCTCCCGAGGTACTTCCTTTTTGGAGACCGACGGGTCAGCCAGGTGCTATATCTTACGAACCAGCTTCAAATACATACCTGATTTATATGGTGTGCTAGTGGCGGACTTGATAGCATCCGGCTATCGAAGGATTCTGGACATACCATGCAATGATCCTTCGAACGGTTCTCTGTCGTGAGCTTCGCTTACCCTGTGCATGACCATAAGTATTGATTGGTCCGCCAAGAGCATGTCAAGCTTTTGATCTCATCAAACCGGGTATTACGTGTGGCAAAGAACATATTGAGAATCAATAGCTTTCTCACTTCTGTGATAGTTCCGACTTCGTGAGACTCGACGACAAAGTGCTCACATTGTCGCGTAAACAGCAACTGCCAAGCCCAGAATTATCCCATGTTGTGCAGCTCTCCAAAATATGCAGCTTGCTCAGGTCCCGCTTGGTGCTAACCCCCAAATCGGATTTAGCGTCTAGGCACCGACTTACTTAGTGGAGACTTTACTAAACTAGGGAATCGTACCCGGATAGTGTCTTGGTAGTTGGGATTGCGTGCTATCTATCTTTTGTAATCATGTCTTATCTGGTCACTTTGCGCGCAGCACGCATGGGAATAATGCTTGCCAAGATGCCAATGCAATTGGAAAAAGCATATTCTGCCAGTCGGTCGCGGGCAATACAGTAGGGGCCGAGGTTATCCGGGAAAAAACACTGTGGGGTGCATATGCAACTGTTGATTAGTATGAGACAAACCAAGAAGGGGTGAGTAGTATGCGTGCATTAGGTAGAGATTTGCGATTTATCTGCTCATATCTACGATATATCTCGTACCCGTGTTTCTTTCCTTCTTTGGCCTGGGTGGATATAATCTCAATACATCCCTGGATACCATGTGTGGATTCGACCCCGCTAGTTGTAAACGCTATGAGCGCCTATCCCTCTTGGCAATAAAAGGTCTCCTTGGATTAATAATTGCTAGTCTGACTTGTTGCCCTAACTGAACTAATACTTCTACTTCTAGAAACAGAAGAAAGGATATCTGTTCAGTTCACCAAAGTACGAGTGTTCCGACCCATAAATGTCATGTTTGTAGCACTTGCTGCTCTGTACTATAATGCCTACGCCCAGCCAGATATACGATGATTTCAGGAATTCAGGCCACACATCATTCCCAAGGATCATTCTTATAAAGAGTATTTTCACTAGAGCGAGGCCGATGTTATCAGTAGGAGATCTCATCCAAGAACAACTGGGCTGTATTGTTCATGAAATCGCTACTCACACCGACGATAAAGCGAGCAATAAGGAGGACAGTATCATTCAGTACAGCGGATTGTAAGGGTGCGCCAACATCGAGAAACGATATTCCGGTAAGAGATTATATTGTATAACCGAAATTATCAGATGTCTAGGTCGTGATGAGAGCTCTAAAGAATTTTCCAATCTGGTAGATGGAGTTGACAACGCCCAACCATCCAGTGTTGGATGTTCATGAATGTCTGCCAGACATCCAACGATTATTATAAAGAAAACAATTATAATCATTAGTAGATACTAAATAGTCGGTATTTAACATTTATATCTCCGTCTACATCTACCGACGGCAGGGATATTGACATATCTTTACAAATACAGACTCATAAGCTGGCGTTGCTCCGATGCCATGCCCCTCAAAGAGAGACATCGGGAGCATGATGCTGTCCGCATCGTCAGGTCAAGGGTGAGATCCTTAATTTATTATTCCAAGCTTAGCAATATGTTGAAAAGAGAAAATAGAGCTTTTTGGCTCATCTTATCCCAGTGCAGATGAACGATAAGGCGCTGTTCACCTTGAGCACTCACATTTATATGGATGACGCATAATTCAGATTTAGGTACGGTCCTATCCCTTAACAGACCCATCCATTATCTTCCCAGTAACCCTTTTTCATCGAATTCTCGCATTAAGGATAATAGGAACATTGCCCGTCGTGCAGGCTGTCGCTGACGAATGCCCAGCGAAAACAGTACAGGGAAGGCGGAGTATCTGTTGGGGGATGAGAATGGTTTCATGACGGGCGCAAGCTTATGGTATTATTGGGGGGGTTGGCTGTCTTCGTAGATCAAATTAAACTGACATTTTGCCCTTAGTATATATTTTCAGGCGGAATTATGGGGATATGCTCTTGAATGACAATAGGAAGATATTGTTGCTGGAATGTGCTATATTCTCAGATAGTCATATTTGCTACTTGAGTCTTTGCATTGATGCTATTCCTGATATTCTAGGCATAAGGCGAGCAGATTTTCTATATGTATTTCTTTTTATTGATCTAATATACCCCCGCGTGTTTGGATTTGGACGAATCAGGGAAAATGATTTCCATAATACCTATGAAGATTTGATACTTGACACAGCTTTGTTACGCTTTCTCCACGGGGTTCAATAAAGCAACTAAAAGATAACTTGGACATCTGTGATGACAGCACCAGCTGCGAGAATGGCTAGCAAGTACACATAAACATCACACACATCATAATAAATGAAACCCTCTCCTAATAAGGGTATAACAATTCATTAACCATCGAGAGCAGATGTTGCCAGCTTATCCGCCTCCTGGTTGTATTCTCTCGGAACATGCCAGAACTTAACAATGACCTGCTCATCTTCGAGAGCCTTCACATACCGCTCAATCGAACGAAAATGCTCTTGATTGGCAACAGGCAAGCCCTTTGCAGTAGTCCAACCATTGGCCTTCCATTTGAAGATCCATTCGGTTATTCCGCGTACCAAATACTCCGAGTCTGACTTGATCACCACGGTGTGAAGTGTTCCTTCTTCATCTCCTGCCGTTTCGGTAAGCTTGTCCCAGTACTTTTGCAAGACGTGCGCAGCAAGCAGAGCTCTCTGACAGGCTGCGAGCTCGGCAACCTGGCTTGTCTGTTTGAGTTCTGGCGAAAGAGTGACACCGTCATTCAATGGATGGTCATGGCCGTAATAAACCCCAGTTGACGCCCGGGCTCCGTCCTTGCCATTATTGCGACACGCACCGTCAATTGCAATCACGATACAGTCAAGATGACGGATATGGCAATTGCAATGGGGGCACTTTTTTTCCGAGCCTGGGCATGCGAGAAAGACCAGGTTGCCTACTGGAACCTCGATGTCGCCCAAAGTGAAGTGATCTGGGTATAGTTCGTGCGGGAGGAATCGGCGAGTCGGGGCGGAGACTGCCTGGGGTGAGGTCGGGAAAGATGAGTTTGAGGAAACATCTGTTTCGCGACTAGACAGAGAGCTGCGACAATCACTGTGCTTCTCATCGGTGTGGGAGCTCTCTGGAGTACTCTGGTTGAACCGGTCAGTTACACTGCTACATATAAGGAGGCCGCTCTGAGGAGTGCTAAGTAATTCCGATCGGCTCAATTGAGACGCATGTGCTTACCTGACGAGACTTGGGCTTTCTCTTCTTCTGGTATCGTCTCTGCATCTTTCAAATTGAGCTATATGAAGCTACTTTCTCTGAGTGGAAATATACTTGGAATGTGGTGAGAACTGGAGGGAAATTTCTCCTGGTCTGTGGGGTAAACGGTGGAGGGTCCCCAGTCAGCAGCATGAAGAAGAGTTGTCGACCATCAGTCAGTCAATTCACTTGGTTATATCACGTGTCAACTACCACCCTCACACAGTCGGTGATGTGAGCTCAATTGATTAGTAGTAGTAAGCCACCTTTATAGGTCTCGGCACATCCTCCGTTACTGGTGGTCCATCCGGGATGCTCCAGATGATGCGTAGGCAAGATCCGGAGTCAGCTTCGAGGCATCGGACTCTTCCAAGTATTCGATGACCTTGTTCTACTATTCGACTACTCACCCCGATGAAGAGAGTACATACGCGTCAATTGTTGATCATCGGTTTAGGGAGGAAGGTCAAAAGCTGCCTTGACTGGACGCCAGACAAAGGAAGGTATTGCTACTGCCAACAGATTACATCCATATATCGACGTTCATGTCTCCATTATAGTCAGCCATTGAGGCTTATGGCGTATATGATGCTCGATTATAGCATAATGCGGGCTTTTCCGATAAGCGTCAACTGCGGCAATCGGGTGTCGTGGAGCTTCGGCTTCATCCTTTCACACAACGACGATCAGGGGTCCCGTATTTCCCCGGATATCCTACCTTCAACAAAGCATGCGAACTGTGAGACGGTATGATTTTTATACTGTCGATCAAGTCGGGATAACAAAGGGATAATCAGGAAGCCGCATGGAAAGTGGATCTGTCCGAACGCGGAAAGTATCTCGCTGGCATGTTTAATCTAAACGCTAAACCAGGACCTTGATCGTCATGGACATCATCAATCTAACATGTTAATCCTGGTATGTGGAACTTGTCATGGCTCATCGGCCCTTCCCACGCTTGAATTGATGTATAATTTCGATAATCACTTGGTCAAAGGAGCCGCTGTATAACCCCAGGCTCGTGAGGTGACTTTATCGTCCGGGCGATCCAGCGATCGGGTTCTCCCTTCCGATGAGAATCTCCTCGGGTTAATAAACTGGGCAGTATTTGAATAAGAAGCCACCTGCCTTCCATGGAGAATCGCTCAGATATGTGCATCGTCACTAGATTCCGCTTGATGGAGAATTGAGGGCAATCTGGTTCCTAAAACTCGTCGTCAGCACGAAGATAGATCAGTTCCTGAGCCACCCAGCGGTAATATGGAGTGAAGGCAAGGGAATATAACGCCATACCGTACGATCCAAGAAAGCCCTACATCGAGATCCTCCTGCATAAACACACCAAGGGGTAACGAGTTCTCCCCAATATTTGCTTGTGAAGATTGTCTGGTTTCGATAGCAATTATACCTTGAGATTGGATGAAACTTCCAGATTCTCGGTTCCGAGGGGTGCTATTGTATGTTGGGAATGGGCGCTGGCTTATCAGAGCATTGCTAGCGCTTCAAAAGAATACCCTTTTGTTCCACTAGTGGGTAAATTTTCTGCCCTCATACGATGAACTTGACGCCGGAGAAAGATAATCAGATATAGATCTCCTACATCTGAAGCGACGATGCCGGTGTCCATCATGGCACCAAAAGAGGGAGATAAGTGATTATTGGGCTGTCAACATAACTTCAACGTCTGACCCAGCAACAGACTCAGATATATTAGGAAGCCGAAGTTTGAGAAGAGGCAGAGAAATGATATTAAACTTCATCGGGCCCCAATCCGGACAAGTTCGACAATATGCGCAACCAGAGTAAGACAACGACAGGATAACGCAAATAAAATATCGCAATGGTTCTTCTAGGGGCGTTCAAAAGAGGGCGACACGACCTATATCATGAGATCCGCCGAGAATAATTTCCCCCGGCACGTTGCCCCGGAGAGATAAGCTTCGATTATTAGCCTTATGAGCCACGTCAGCCTGAACCGGGGTACCTGGTTTAATATGCTCTAGCTCCAATGCTTATGCTCCTTTGATAGGTCACCCTAAGACATGTTAGGTTACAGGCGCGAAAGGGTTATCGCCATCGGTCCCTTAGGACTAGCAGCCTCACCGGGGTTCCAAATGCGCTACCATGATTGTACTTAAAGAGCCGCCCCCTTCAATCGCTCAGTATTCATTTCTACTTTCTTTCCATTGCAATTCTTCCACTGGGGGCCAGCACCAGCGAGCCACGAGTGGATAAATGGGTCATCCGGAAGCGACCGAGACCCCCGGTCAGTGCATTACTAATGCAAATGAGGGGTTTCTCCAACTTGATGAGAAGGAAGATCCCAGACAATGGCCAAAAACCAGAAAGTGTAAGATTTGCTCGTATCAGGCCTCTGATGATAGGAGAGTGAAATTAATCAACATCCAACGATGATCTAGGGGTGTGTACGGTGATTGTGGCGGTGATGACGGGAGTGATTGCCTTCTGCTCGAGTATTTACACCGCTGGAACCAGCCTCATCACTGCCACATATGGCTGTTCACGCACCGTCGCCACTCTCGGGGTGACGACATTCCTGTTGGGATTTGCATCAGGGCCTCTCATCTTCGCTCCCCTCTCTGAAGTCTAGTCAGTCTGTCGAATCCCTCTTTCCTGTGATTGCTGGCTCATGCGTTTAGGGTTGTTATAGTGGCCGCAATTACATTTTCCGGCTTACTCTAGGACTGTTTGTTCTGTTTCAGATCGGCTGCGCGTTGGCGCCCAATATAGCATCCCTCATTATCTTTAGATTCTTAACCGGCTTTTTCGGTTCCCCGTCGGTCACCAATTCGGGTGGTTCTATCACGGACCTCTGGCCTCAAAGCGAACGGTCCGTGCCCTTGGCTTTGTTTTCCGCTGGTAGCTTTCTTGGACCCGTCTTCGCGCCTGTTGCGGGCGGGTTTATTTCCGAGTACCTCTCCTGGAGATGGAACTTCTGGGTGGTTCTCATTGTTAGTGGCGTAGTGTATGCGGCATGTGTGCTCTTCTTGCCAGAAACATATGCGCCTAAGCTTCTGCGAGATAAGGCTCGTCGTCAGGGCGTCGTCCAGGATGGCCCGTCTCTCAACTCACAACTTATGACCTCTCTAACCCGCCCTTGGCTGATGCTGTTCGCGGAGCCCATTCTCTTTCTACTATCGCTCTATATGGCTTTCATCTACGGAATCCTATACCTGGACTTTACGGCGTATCCGATCGTATATGAACAGTCCCGTGGTTGGACCTCTGGGATTTCTGGTCTTTCATTCCTAGGCATGGGAACAGGCATGGGAATAGCGACAATCGCATCGCCGTACGTGAACAAAATTCATGCGACATATGTCACCAAACTCGGCCCAGAGCCAGAAGCCCGACTACCCCACATCATTGTCTTGTCCTGGCTGATCCCCGCCAGCTTATTCTGGTTTGGTTGGACCGCGATGCCTCCGACGCACTGGATTGTGGGCATTATATCAGGTGCACCTTTCGGCTTCAGTCTGATATTACTCTTTCTCGCCATCACCTCCTATCTCACTGACTGCTACGGGCCATACGGCGCAAGTGCGCTTGCAGCTAATGCAGTGTTTCGCTCTATCTTCGGCGCAGTGTTCCCACTGTTCGGCACGTATCTATATGACGGCTTGGGGGTACCCTGGGGTTCTAGCTTATTGGGGTTCTTTGCTTTGGCGTTTGCTCCCCTGCCGTGGGTGTTTTATCACTTTGGGCCGAGGATTCGGATGCGAAGCAAGTACCATATGATGATGAAGGCTGAAGGCTTTTAGAAACCGGTCTCAACCTGACTTTGGGTGGATAGTTATAATTACTGTAGTTCATCAGCGGAGGAAAGATAATTTAGGGTTACATAGGAGTCTGAAGCAGTCCGACTACAAATTAGTTCCGGATTGTCTTCTACATCAAGAGATGACTATAGTCCCCTGCAACACATCGCACACCCAGTGCAATAAGACTATCATCACTTAAGTCGTTATCGTCCAGTAAATGAAGCAAGTATACACGACCACAGGGTGCGGAACATAGAGAATCCTGTCCGCTCAGCCGTACTCAAGCTGACCCTATATCGTCTGGGCGCAGCGGTGGCTCGACGTAGAGCTGGAGTCTCCTGGAAAAATGTACTAGCATGCGCCGAACTCTCACAATGACAGGCTCATTGACTGGATCATCTCGAAATCCGGAGACATATTAGCTTGACACCTCGATTGTAATTGTATTGTTGGTCAAATGACTCAGGACCTTTGCGCCCGTGTTTATATGCGCCTCAGACTTTCAACATTTTGATGCTCGATCAGCTTATTTTGTATCTGTAGACATGTGCAGGTCCATCATATCGACGATCGACTCCATCTTTCGTCTGTCAGGTACGAGGATCTTCTCCACTGCATCAGCGCTGTTCCAAACTTCTGGTCCGTAATAAATGCTATGCAGCTCCTCGAAGACCAGGTGCAGGTTGCTCATAATAAATTCCGGAAATGTCGAGTGGCCTTTGCCAATATTCGAATTCGATACTGCAACTCCCACCTGCTGGATCCAAAAGTTTCGATGTGTCGCCCCCGCTACTATCGGGCTAGCTACCTCGCTAAACAGTTCTCTGGCTCGGGACTTGAGCTTCTCCCGCGACATGTTCCCGACATCTTGTGTAAAGCGTTTGTGAAGGTAGAACAGGAGGTGAGCGTGACTGAGGACCGGCGGGCCTAGATTTTGCAGGGTCGGCGTCAATTTCTCAAAGGCCATTTTGGCCCGAAATGTAAGCTCTTCGGCTGACGGAAGCTCCGGTATTGCTTCTGATATCCTTCTGGTTTCTCTGCTAGGGAGAGCTGCTATGATGTTCGGCAGCGGCTTAAGATCAGGCATCACAAATTGCGATCGCGCAGCGACGCTATTCCACGCTTTGTTCGAGTAGTACTCCTTCCAGCGTGTCGAATTGAGATGGAAAGTCTTCTGAAAGGCCTCGAATGGCATCTTCGAAGTATCAACCGACCGCTTCTCATCATCCAGTGACCGCAACGCAGCATGGACTATCTCAATCCAGAAGTACGACTGTGTCTCCGAGTACGTCTGAACGATCGCATCACTCGTCCTCGCCCGCATAGTAGTTTGCTGGAGTGCTACCAGCGCCTGTGTAATTACTTGCTCGCGCGCCGTCCCCGTGTTCCGCACATACTGCATCACAGCGAAGCCATAGCGCATGAGTCTATCTGGTCTCTTGTCTATCCTAGGCACTGTCGCTGGATCGCGGAGATAATCTGTCTGTATTGGGAGAGGCCGTAAATTCGGGATTGTCCAGACGTCCCGTGGCCTGGAGACGGGGTTGAAGGAGTAATAACTCTTCCAGAGATAGGTGTTCATCAATGATGCCGAGTGGCGGAGGATTTTGGGGAACTCTACTCGCGATGGAAGATCTGCACTCATAGTGTGCATCCGATAGTCCCGGATTCCGTGTTGCAGTTGTAGAGTCCAGAATGTGACTAGGCATCTGCTGAATGGAGCTTCGACGTAGGCTCTTGGTGTCTCGCTGTTGTTGAATAGCTGGGGAGATGTCTTTCTCAGTCGGTTCAGGTGAATGATGAAGTCCTCTGCAATTTCACAGAAGGTTTTCTTCTTCGCCGACTCGAGTATGACGAAATAGAGCGCCTTCAGATAGGTGTAATGAGTCCACACCGGCAAGTCTCCGTTCAAGAAGGATGTCCAGAACGCATCGGCATCGAGCGTGTCGCCAGTAATCTCCCTGCCAACTCGATGTTGCAGCTGTTCGGTAGTCAATTCTTCATCCGTTGAGTCGCTTATGACCGTTCCCTTCTTATCCCGTTTGTCCTCCTTCGCAGGCTCCAGATTCACCCTCTTCACGGTCTGGTAGATGTCCTCTAGAACCTCAAATACCCCTATTCCAGTCTTCGAACTCAGCTTATGCGTTAGTACTCTCCACGAAAGGGCATCGTTATACTTTGCAAATTCCTCCTCATACTTCTGTCGCGCCTCCTGAACCACCTGTTTGGAGACATCCGGCGAATCTTGCTTATTCAACCCAACCCAGATATACCGACATCCTCTCTCCACCATCTGGTCGAGCAGACCGCGAAACTCCCATGGTGGCCACTCCTCGGTAGAGCAATCGTGCAACCACACAACCAAAGTGTGTGGCGCAAGCTCCCGCCATATTAAGGGCCCGCATTGGGCTGATGCTCATCGGTTAGCATCTACCAGACCAAGTGAAAAGAAATACAGCACGAAATTAGAATGAAAGACAAATAATTAGGAGTAACGTACTCCGAAACTCCCATATACTCCACTCATAGGTGGCAGGGTAATTCACCGTCTCAATATTCAAGTCCCTCGTCGGTAGCGGCTCTTGCTCTCCAATATCGCCGAATTTGAGACGGCGGAGGAAGGTTGTCTTGCCACAGCTGTCTTCTCCCAGGAGCAAGATACGGTAGTGTTTCTCGCTGAAGATCCATTTCAAGAGTTCTCGTGGAGTTAGCCTCGTTCGCGTGGATAGCTGGATGCGGTGCTTACTGTCCATCTTAGGTCTCGGCGAATCCAGTTTCTGCTTTTTTCATCCCGAGACCGAGGCTATGTTCTTCGTTTTATTGACTGAAGGTATTGTTGGCGCCTGGAAGGCAACATATGTGTACTTTTTATTCTTAAACATGTTGCCAAGCAGAACAAAACTTCATTGGAGGCCACGGTGGCCTCTCGTATTATTCAGTTCGTGATCAACACTGCCTCCGCCCGAGGAGCGTCAATATAAGCACCGCGCCCTCTGCCAAGCTACTTGACCGGAGAAAATAAATTCTAGTCGAACATAAGGGGACGGGGATAGAGAAACTCTCTTGCCTAATACTGCGTCCTATTTGTATAATTTATGATATCCTACTAATCCGAATATATATTATCCAGGTAAGGGAACAAGAGCCCGAATTACCCGGAAGAAAAATCAAATAAGGCAGTAAGCTGCCCACACAGTGCTTAGTGAACAGAGCCATACGACGGGCGCAGTTGTATATGATATTCATTTACTTTACTCAATTTATTATTTTTCGCCTTGGTCCATCAGCTGAACGAATTATTATGGAACCGCGCTGCCTGTCATCTTCCCGCAAAGTGCCAAGACTGCATCAGGCCCCATGAGATATTTACACAAAGCCACGTTAGACAACCTCCACGTGCATGGAGTTCCCGTTCTTCTTCCCATCCACACGACAATCATCATCACCGTGCCGCAGACCCGATCGCTCCCCATCAAAAATCACAGCAATTTCCTCCAGCGTATGACCCTTCGTCTCCGGGAAATAGAAATAAACAGTAGCCAGGATTCCCATAAGAAAGACACAAAACACAATATAGTACTTCCATCCCAAATTCTCCATTCCAATGGGATTGCAAAACGATGCAATAATAAGTGATCCGTAAACGGACATCATTTCCACTGCCAGACCCTTTGAGCGGAGAGAGTAAGGAAATATCTCCGTAGGGTACCCCAATAGTAAGGGCGTCCAGGCGATATCATAGTGGAAGTAGACGACGAAAACGCAGACGATAACGACGTACCCTGCGGGCTTGGAGCCGGTCTCGCTGTTGAGAGCTGAACAAATGGTCCATACTATGAACGAGATGAACATGCCTATGCCGCTCCAGAGGAATAGCGCACGGCGACCTAGTCGGTCGACGAGAAAGGCGGCCATAAATGCGGCGGCGAAGTTGAAGAGTTGGAGAAAGCCGTTGATTAATGTCTGCGTGTAGGAAGATGTGATTCCTACAGAGTCTAGGACTAGAGTGAGGAAGTAGGCGACTACGGCTATGCCGTTCCATTGTGCGAATGTGCCGACGCAGATTGCAATGATGGTTCGTTTGCGGTTACCTTTGATTTCATGTCAGTATTGATACCCAGGTCTAGAGGAGGGGAGAAGGGACTACCTGGTGTTGCAGTTAAGGCGGACCATCCGGTGCCTTCGAAACTCTTCTCCAGTTCGATGGCGGTTGTAATCTCAGCGATCTCCATTGCAACCAGAGGCGAGGGCTCTCCATACGGGTCCTCTTGGCCTGCATGGTATCTTTTTAGAATGTCCGTGGCTTCCTCAATCCTATTTTGGGCTACCAGCCAGCGAGGTGATTCTGGGACCCAGTAGAGAAAGGCCAGCTGCACGACAGGATAGCCTGCTTGCAGGATGGAAGGGACGCGCCATGCCCAGCTGCTGGACAGTGCCTGTGTTCCAAACGTGCACCATGATGATAGAATGGCACCCAAGTAGTACATCGTCCAATACGCCGAAGTATACTTACCACGATGTGTAGGGTAAGCCAACTCCGCAATCAGCATTGGGCTTGGTTGGGAGCTGAACATCCCCCCGATTCCAATCAAAATTCGGGCTACTATGAACATAGCCAAGTTCACCGACGCACACTGGATAGCTGCGGCAATGCATATGATGATGAGTCCAGCTAGCAGAATCGGCTTGCGTCCGTACCAGTCGCAGAGGTTGCCTAGGAAGGGAAGCGCAATGACACTTCCGATAGACTGCGCCGCGACTATTGTCCCCAAGAGGCTTCCCGTGGGATTGTTGAAGTAGTCTTGCCATTGTTCCAAAGATTGTAGTCCGTTCATTAACGATCCTGAAGTAACATGTCTTTAGCACCTAGAGTCGCAAAAGTGAGCTATTACTAGTATTCATATTTCTCACCATCATAGCCAAAAGTGGAGGATGAGAGCAAGGGCACGAGAAGGACTAGATTCAGCCGTAGTAAATGTGGTTGCTGAAACCAGTACTTATCCGTCACTGGCAGTGCCGCTGCAAGCGAGCCACCTATGATTTTCGATTCACGTGTCATGTTTTGGCCGTGGAAGTCTCTACCTGTACACAGAAAGTCAGGGAAATCCGGGGTAAAATAGCATGAATAAATAAGGTTTCAATTTCCTGGGGTCCCCGCATCCTTCATCCGCTTCCTGTTGCCTGCATAAGGGCATCAGGTCTACCACGACGATCCCTTACATTTCATTACTCACTGTATCCGGTAAATTTTCAATAAAATTGGAGAGCGAACGGGAAAAGAAAGGAACAAAGCCCAATAAAATAGAACATATAGAATATGAGTTAGTTGCGAGCCAATGAGACCCAAGAAAACGTAATGATTTACCTATTCAACGATGGTTGAACAAAGTAATGCTTCATACTAAGAGCGTACCTAGCACACATTCATTAACTTGGCTGAAGTCTTATTATAAAATTCGGACCCGTCTGCTTGGAACAGATACTAACGCCATCATCGAGTATGTCACACTTTGTAATGTAATAATGCACCGAGAGTCTCCTCCCCGCACAAAGCTGCAGATCAGCAAGGTGCAGATCACCTGGTTTGGGGTTTCCGCAGGGGGTACGGTACCCGCCCCCGTGACTTGGGCAAATCTGATACATGATATTGGGACGCATAAAGCTTCGAGTCTAAGGAAGAAAGGAGACACAAGTGCGCATCTGCGTTCTCATACGGCAGGCGGATCAAGTCAATATTTCCTCTGCGATTAAGGTGGCACTGTTGTTTCTACCAGACGTTCGATGAGCGAGACCTCTACGCACCGATAGCGGGTATCTCGTGTCTCGGGGATCCGAGGATGGTAGTTGTTGACGACTAACAATCGCATACATTAGACAGGAATGAAATGTCGACGCAAGAAAGTTACATTACAAGGAGAGCGTCAATAATTACATGACCAGCTGTAACTAGCACAGATGACATCAGCTATACCACATAGTTTATTACTACCTCTTATCTACAGTGACTGACCCACCGGTATTCACTCCGTCATCGTGGCACAACCCTTTCCAAACCCCAGAAAAGGTGGGTACCCAATCGCCTCACCCAAATCCCCTAGATGTTGGAACAATCGCGAAAATCCACTTTCCCCAATAGACCAATAGATGGACGCGCCGGCGACGCGTGGACGTCACATCGATCAGATGAGATGATATCACATCGGATAAGATTAGATTACATTCCAACTATCTGAGGCTGAGTTGAGACAGAGAAATTTTGAATTTCTCAGAACACGACGACAAACCGCCAACCTAAGACGGCCATCAAGATGGCTTTTAACTCTTGAATAAAACCTAACGCAAGAGGATCCTCAAACGTATCAAGGCAAAGTACACAGCAAAGTACCTCCACACAGTCCATGAACAGCCATTATATCTCTTCCATTCGATCGTATATCATGAAGGTGAAGGAATCGGGAGGTGAGTGTGTCATAATAGACACGGAATCACTCCTAGAAGCCGCTGGCTGAGTTTCAAAGTCGGCACTCATCACGCCATCGACGCACAGTCGGCGCAGGACGTTCGTAGCCTCTGCTGGGCCGATCTGGAATAAACATACCTTCCTGGCCTCTTGTCTCTCCGACAACGTAGGAATGAGAGTCAAAAGATCTGTGTGAAGGCGCATCCACGAGGTACGCTGCGGTCTCTTGGGAATACCCCCTCTTGAATACTCCGGGTGCCCCGATATTCTCACGAATAGGAACGCCATCTCTCCCGCCATCGTAATCAGAGACAATAGACCATTCATCACATTCTGAGTAGGACAGGGAAGGACTCATCCCCTCGCTGCTATTGTCGCGAAATGCTGTTTCCTCGAAATCCTTTCTTATCCTTTCGAAAACGTATGCCATAGGTGAATCCGCCGCAGCAATACTAGGCATTCCATGTGGGAATCTATCGAAGACAGACAAAGGATTGTCACCAATCCTTCTGTAGGTTGCCAACGAGTCATCAGTCACAGTTGCTCCCCATGGATGGACTTCTTCACCCCCAGAATTGAGCATAGGCGCCTCTGTTGGGCGTACCCGGTTAGCCAATAATCGAATGTGTCGGTTCGGATTCTTTGGGTCTGCGTCGCCAAGGACTATTCTAAAGGTCACTGGGGAATAAGAATGTGAGACCGTCAAAATGTACATTGCTGTCTCGAAGGTGTCCACATATTCTTCACTGATACTGAAACATTCTCTGCAAGGGAACCACCATTTCAAACCTGATTTCCAGTGTCCAACTAGTGCTTCTGTGGCCATGGTGGGCTCTATTCTCAGCTACGCTTTGGCTTGAGGCCGAAAGGTAGGTATGATTATGGTGTTTCTGGGCGGTGAGATACAGGAATGGTAACTAGGAAGGTGAATTAGTTTGAGATTTAAAAGCTTAATATACTATTACTGTAGGTGCTATTAGTAAGTTAAACTCTATGGAGCTTCCATCAACATGGATATGTCTTTGTCGGTATTTGCCCGAATTCCAAGACTAACCATATCCTTGGCACGGGCCGCGATATCGTCGACTAAAAAGTGGTTTTCAAAAATGCAGCTGGGGAATTTGATGGGTCAAGTGCTTCCCTTCCCCCATTTCGTGAAGGAACTTGCAACCATTAAACAAGTTCCACAAGTTTCTGTTTTATTACTGCACACAATTGGCTATGAATTGGGAAGACCTCAATTAGCTGCTGGAATCTGTAAGAGTAGATATTATCTATTCTTAGGGCATGGGCTATTTCCGACTTGTCATAGTAGACATACTGTTAAAGTTGAGACTGAGGGTACCTGTCTGAACTATCTTGACGTAAAGTGCATCCTCCCTGACTTATTCTTCTTCAGAAGTTTCTGCAGAATTCTCGTAACGGTATCTACCGTTGGTTGGCCGGTAGTTTAATTCGACTGTTGGTACTGTTTCAAAAGATGCCCCTGAATCAGCGCCATTTTCATCACTGTCCATTGCACCGTTAACTTGTGTGTCAAGTGGAGAGTCAGTTATACGATCTTCCCATATGATAAAGGGAGAGGTTGTGATCATCTCGAAGTCTGCCTTGATGTAACTCAATGACTGATACACGTCATTCAAGGGCTCACATGTCAGATAGTCATCATTGTCATGTCTTTTGTAGAACGTCAATTCATCGCCGATCCAAGTTGCTCCCCAGGGAAAAAGTCTTTGTACGCCGCCGCGGGCAATGATCGGTGGTATAATTACGCGTACTACATCTTCCAATAAATCCAGATAACAATTAGGGTGCTCGATATCAAGTTCGCCCGCAACTATATGGAACGTTAAACGGGAATGCACATATGTCACTGTGACGATTTCAATAGGCGCACTGTAGGTTTGGGAGTCTCTCATGACTGAGATACTGTAGCCTTGTTCAGTTGGAAACCAGTCCTGAAGCAGATATTCCCAATATCCCTGTAGTAGCCTTTGTCTGTCGTCTGTTGACGTGTTATTTTCGGGTTCCATTCTTTGTGACCTTGAATAGGACAGTGGTTGGGCTCAATAGCACGGTATTTTCAGTGATTGAGCTGTTGTACAAGTATCCAACACATGGCGCTTTGAGTCTCCTTAAATGGTTTGATGTGATGCAAGTACAGACTAGGGTGCGGACCCTTCCGATGATATAGAAGGGATCGATCGGCACCTAACTAAATTATCTGGTCTTGAGCACTGCATCGGTATCTTCCATCCAGTTATCTCAAACGGCAGACGTCCGGATACAACGAATGATTTTGCAGAAGTGTAAGGCAGATTCTAAACATTCTAAATAGGCAAGGAAACACCTGAGAGGTGATCTCTCGCCGCTTATAATACATCGGTCTATGCGCCTCCATTTCAGTCATCTCCAAGTACTTGACACTGTATTATAATCCTGTGTAGAAGAAGAAAGATTTCGGGGTTATTTTGCGATCTACAGTTAGAGCGATTTTAGATAGAGGATAATAATTGTCCGAATTTACCCAACACCGTCAGTCAAAAATGAGCTCTTCCCGGACTTCCTACTGACCAATCCGAACGCTCATAGCTAGCATTCCACGAGAGCATCCTCCCGTCGGACCCACTTTCCCTTGATATCAACTCCAGACAGCCGAAAGCAGTGTCAAGTCTGCCTGGGTTCTCGCATCATACGCCTCAGCTCAGAGAAGTCACTAAAAGCAGCACGGTTTTGTTTTCGGCTCACAACAAGGGAAGAATAAGGACGCAGCCTCTTATGTTCCCTTCACTTAACTACACACTTCAGAATCGTCGAATATCTGAATGCCGTCCGATTAATAATCTTAAAGCAAACCGAGGTCCTAGGCCAGTGATGATTAGAAAATGTAAAAGCCATCCCCAACATCTTTGCTAGCAGAGCAGACATTGGCGGGCGTTTTGGAACTAAAAGTTTCGACAATGGCGTGGCGTTGATGTTTCAGAAAAGAAAGACAGTCACCAGGATTATTATTATTATATTTTTTTTTTTTCGTTTCAACGCCAACAGTTTCCAACGATCGCAGCTGCTCCAACTCTTTATTTAATTCTTTTCCATAATCATGAACGTCCTTTCCGTGCGAGCTTGAAGTTTCACACTCATTCATTTATTCATTCAATTAATGAGTCATTGTTTTTGGTAAACATCAATTGCACATAAACAACCACCGGCGCTTGTTGTAGGGTTTAAACAAAATAATGCTGTCCGCAGAGTTTACCCCTTTGTCGGACCGAGTGTACCTACGCCATGGCAGAGAGAAAGCCAAATCATGCGGGAAGGACGAGCCAACCACAATCATCATCTTTGGCTGGGGTGACGGTATGCCGAAGCATGTCTCAAAATATGCCGATGGCTTCCACGATCTTTACCCATCCGCTCGGATTCTTCTTGTACTGTCAAGCACCTTTCAGGCTCTGAACCAACCTCTTGAAGCTAGAATACAAGACATGATGCCGGTTATTGACACTGTTTTCCCTACTCCAACGGGAGACGGCAGCAATGAAGAGCGAGTTCTCCTGCATTCGATGTCAAATACCGGTGGTATATTCTTGGCCGCTACCATAACGGCCTACCAAAAACGCCATGGCGCGGACAAAAGGCTACCCCATGAGCTTCTTATTTGCGATTCAACACCCGGCGGGCTTTCTATCTTCACACAAGCCGGCCGCTGGTCGCGGGCTATGGCTGTGGGCACATCCAAGTTCTTTCCATGGCCTTGTATGGTCACGCAGGCATTGTGGTTTGCTATCCTCTGGGTTCACTCCGGGCTGGGGTGGCTGCGTGGGCTAGAACCTTCTGGAGTTTGGGCTGATCGGGTAATGAATGATGAGTCGGTCACAACGCGAGAGTCCAGTCGGCTGTACTTGTACTCCAAGGAAGACGAGATTATAGGTTTTGAGGACCTTGAAGAGAATGTTGCCCAAGTTAGGACCCTAGGCTATCGGGCGGTTGACCTCGAGCTCTTCGAGGGCTCACCACATGTTGGCCATATGAGGCTACATCCAAAGCAGTACTGGGGAAAAATCTCGGAGTGCTGGAAAGCGGCCATAGTTCGAAATAATAGTTCGATTTGCCACCATCAATGGGTCTTAGAAGAGGCAGCCTTTCATACGTTGATATACAAAGACGACTAAAAGTGTTTTCGAGGGGGAGGGGGACATCTGTGGCATAATAGAACTGTTGCGTCACCGACACAGGTAGTAACCCAAGGCTTTCAACTTAACTAATGAATTTAATAAATCTCGACATATTCTGACTATACCGTTCTTCAATGATGGTTTCCTAGTTTGTTTACTTATCTATTTTCTCGTAATGTTTCGTTTGCTGGAGTGAGATAAGCAAATAGAACATGTTTTTATGATTAAGCCACTTCATGGGTAGACTCACTACTACGTATAGTCTTCCAACCAGTCTCAAATTGATCACATTTTATCAGACGACTGTGGAATAAGTCCGATCCAGCCTGTCAAACTTCCCCAAAGAACCCTTTTAGGTAAATGTCATAGATCTGCGCATACTAATGTAAAGGCGGACATTTACCGACATCGGAAGATCTCCTCATCGGAAAATCCCCGTGTTAGCACCAGGTCCCGGCATAGAACTGGATGCAATTAATAAACTTTAAAAATGAGAATACTCCATGATTCACATAGTACCCATCGCAAAATCTGACAATATACTGGAGATGGATTCAAAAAACCTCGTGTACCCTTCCTTCAATGACTTGCCGTTGAAGAAAGATGGCCCTCCCGGTAACGCTTGGGGCCTTTGGGGTCCTGACGATCAGATCGGGTCTTTGAATCATCTTACGGACTCAGTAGTGGCGAGGGCAGCAAAGGAAGAGATTAGAACCGGGGCCCGGGTATCTTTGAAGTATGTTAGCTACTAGTAACTCATCGTCGCCGCACCGGGAACGTCTGGGTCTGTTAACGCAAGATATCTATAGTTGGGCTCTGAATGCTTCCTCATATCCTCACCTGACTCGGAAAACGTTAGAGCTCAAACTGATCAATAAGGCGCCTCTCAAATTCGCTCATGACGATGAGGTAGGTCAACCAGATCTCCTGGAAATAACTGCTTTACTGAGATAATATAGTGGTCGTTCAACCCACAGTGCAGCTCGCAGTGGGATGGGTTTCGACACTATGCCTACCAGAACGAAGAGGTGAGCGGAAAATAAAGCCACAAAATTTGGGTATATTCTCATAGACATGGACGCAGCTATACTACATGGGTCGAACGGCAAAGGAGTTCGAAGCGTCCACAACCCCGAACGGAGTCCAACGTATGAGTCCTATATGTGTAACTGTTTGGAACAGACGCACCAGAGCGGCAGGTTGATACTAATGATAAATATATGTGGCAGACATTGCAGAACGAGGTATCGCTGGACGTGGCATACTTCTCGACTGGTACAAATGGTACCACGATAAAGGCCAGACTGTGGATGCCATGAGTCCTCATCCCGTACCGTTCAACCAGCTTATTGAGGTACTTAGGTATCAAGGACTAAGTGAAGAAGATATCAGACCTGGAGATATCCTTATAATTCGCTTCGGCTATATCAGTCAATACGAAGGTATGAGCGAAGACAAACAAGCGCGACTAGATGCGCTTTACAGGAAGCAGAAGCCCGAAAACATCGGGGTTGAGCCTTCCGAAGAACTATTGAGGTTTCTCTGGGAAAGGAAAGTTAGTGCCGTTGCAGGCGATACGCGATCATTCGAAGTTTGGCCTTGCACACAGACTCAATGGCATCTTCATGAGTGGTTGCTCGCTGGGTGGGGGATGCCGATTGGAGAACTGTTCGACTTGGAGAAGTTGAGTAAAACCTGCTGTGAAGCGAACAGGTATAGTTTCTTTTTTACGAGCGCTCCTATGAATGTGAGTCAAGTCCGTTCCAATCGAAATATACTGTATATCGAGTCTAACCCTACCTATAATTTACAGGCTCCCGGCGCTGTTGCCAGCCCTCCGAATGCTTTTGCCTTTTTCTGACCCCTTTTTGGAAACTTCAAATACCAGTGAGCAAACTGGCAGACTGGTATTACGGCAAGCTGGTGGCAAAACATGTCAGGGATTGTACATAGTGCAGATTGAGAGTTATGGAATATCCCGTGACGGAGAACAAATTAAACCTACTTGGCCCGTTAATCATGCACAGGAATCTTAACTTGTGGATACCTACATGCATCACGAAACAAACATCATCTACCATAAAGATCTACATCAGATATGCAAACGTAGAAGCCGTTAAGGGCCGAATTGGGGAATCAAGAGCATGAATCAGATATATTATATATGAAAGACATCTTCATTGAAGGATTCGTCTTGCTACATGTCTCTTTCGAAGAATAGAGAAGACAGGGTCAAGAAAAATAGACATTCGAGATCAATGAGTACAGGAACGCACTCACATAACAAACACGCCCATCCTTAATGCGTCTTCTTTGATTTGAGCTCTACCATGCGAAGACATGTATTGAGTCACAATATATAATGGCAAACAGAATTTTCATAAGGCAAGGAGTATGGAGATCCTTTCCAAGAAGACAAGGGGTTTTTACAGCGTGTACTTGAAAATAGGGCTCTTCTCGCCCATGGCTGCCAGCTGATCCGGAGCATAAGTCTCACGAACTTCACTCTCAGAAATACCATTTTTGTGCTGGTTCAAGCGCCACAATGCATATTCAAGTGAACAAGCTGCAATAATTCCCATGGCGATAATCCCAAGTGACACACCATATCCGACCACATAGTGTGGAGCTTGATTATCAAGGAATACATTTGTTCCAATGAAGCCTGGCGACGTCAGTGATGATTATAGGCGTCCATGAAATAAATTGAAACTCACAAGCAGTATTTGCTGCAGCCAATAGCCAGGCGATACCAATCGACCTTTTCCAAGACTGGGGAAGATTGTTCCCGGTCCAGGCCGAGATTCCAGGCAGCAACGGATAAATGCCGATTTGTGCTAGAATGATCGCAAAATACATTGGGCCTTTGTAGGCGTCAACATTAGCTGACAATATCAAGAGTATCAAGAAAGATACAAGCAGCAAGGCCATTGGAGCGACAATGAATGGGAAACGCCAAGTAAACCGATCAGCAAGTCGGCTACTCAACCAACTAGAGACAGCACCGCAGAAGTACGGTGGAATTGTCAGTAACTGTGCATCCTGCGATTCAAATCCCAGCTTGTTGATAATTGTGGGCATTGTGTAGGAAAATGCCGCATTAGGGGCGGCGTTGACCATGCCCATTAGCGCCCCTAGAAGGATCTTCCAGTCTAGCATTGTATTGAGCAGCAATGACCAAGAGAATTTATCTCCTTCTCCGGTGGTGGACCGATTACCGCTCTGTCGGAAGCGAAGATCGAGATATTGCTTCTCCTCTGCTGTGAGCCAGCCCACCTTTTCGGGACTATCTGGAAGCAGAAGTGGAAGGAACAGGCTGAATGCGGATGGGACAATACCCTCCAATGTAAAGATCCATCGCCAGCCTGCAATCCCGCGAATGCCGTCCATCTTCGATATAGCAAAGGCCAAGAGTCCACTGAATGCTCCCGAAATGGCCGAAGCCGTATACAAAATAGCCAGGCGTTGTTGGATCACATTTGGTGGGTACCACTGTGTAACCAGATAGACAGCGCCGGGAAAGAATCCCGCCTTAACACAGAATGTGTGGTGAGCATGTGGAAGCCCATGATGAGGGTGAGCGTACCTCACATATACCCAATAATACGCGACATGCAGTCAGGCTTGCGAAACCTTGAACAGCGCCCATGCATGTCATCACAATGCCCCAAGTGAGGACCTGAGCTGCAAGCCAAAAGCTTGGACGTGTCTTCTTGAGCATTACGTTCGATGGGATCTCTGAGCCAGATCCATAACCATTAGCAACTGAGATGGTCCGTAGTATTATGAATCAAGACTTTACCGAAGATGATATAAGGAACGAAGAATAGAGTGCTTGCAATGTTGTACTGGTTCCCAACAAGGTTCAGGTCCCTACTCATCCCCTCAATTTTCGCGTTACCCAGGTTCGAACGGTCAACGTGTGAGAAAAGATAAAGCAATCCGAGAACAGGAATAATATGTCGGTCAACCTTCGTATTTTGTCAAAAAGATATTAAAGTGTTGACTGAAAATCATGTCATATTCACCTTTCTCATAACCTGCTTGCCTCGTTTTCCTTCATACGCACGTAGGATTGCGGCCTCTTCGTCCGAGAAGCCTGCATAGGCAATAGATTCAAGATGCGCGACATCAAGACCTAGCTTTGCTTCTTTTCCAAGATCCTGCTCCATTGCTTTGCAAAGTCCTTATGCCACTGGAAATGATGATAGCGGTATATGCCGTGGAACTCAAGAGCCAAATCACAGCGAATGACGAAATTATTCTCCACAGGTGCATAAGAAGAGATGGTTTGCTCTCCATTTATCTCAGGCATAGCGTCCAGTATAGCAAGAATATGGGTCTTGGATCTGGATACCCCACGGGGTATGTCCGCTTCGGACAACATCCGTGGAGGGCTTTCTGGAGAAGCCAATTGCCTAAGCCATCGGTAAGATACCGGAACACGGCCTGGGAATTAAGTAGACCAAACGTTACCCCTTCTGTTAGTTCTTGGAATCACTAATTAGCCCACGTATCATAACATGTCCTCGATAGGTCAGTCGCAGAAATATACTGTTTATGATGATCCTGTCGGAAGTGTACTTGGTTGACCCTTGGCAGACGCAGGATCTAAATGCATTACCCCAACTCTTATGACATTGACGAAAGAAATCTTATTCATCGGAGAAATGTATTGCATGCTCGATACAACCTCTAGGGCTACCTCAAATATAGGATCGAGGTATGAGTCGTGGTTAACAATCGTTGAATCAGAGATGTCGGGGTCTATGTCTGCTCATTTCCCACCAAATTCCATGTCAGAGGCAGGATAAAGCGTATCACTTCCTCAACAGAATACTCACCATTTAAGATCCATATAATGTAGCCTGGAGCTGTCCAAAAACTTCCAATCATACGGGGTTGGTCAAAATCGGTTACTTGGTCATTGAGATGACAACAATTTCGTCCAATCACTGCCGATATCTCGCATTACAGTCGAGAATCCAGTTTCCGAGGGTTTCGGTAAACAGAAACCAGCCAGGATATGTATTGCCAATCCTAGGCAAAGGAAAGGTATGGTATTTCTGTGTTACCTTGAGAAACACAAACAGCCATACGTTGTTGAATACTAGAACATGCCAGGACTCAACAAGCCGAGACCGCATTTCCAATCCTTTCACGGCGGAATTCATCTTCTCCAACTTTGATGATTTCTGTTGCATCATTTTTGGCGCACATATGTTGTTCTCCCCCATATCCGCCGATAGAGCCGGACTACCTTGTTCATCTGTGGATTTCTCAGCCTGGCTATGTTCATGAGGAGCTTTCTTCTATTCTGCTACTCTACTCAACCCATAATTCATGTGTAATCCGAGCAGCAACAGCCGGAAACGTGCTATAGGAATTAACCTAGTGCTGAAGATACATAAGCGGCAACAGGAACTCCAGAGCATATTTCGGGTTCAATCTGAGTAGTAGAAAGACGATACACCCGTATCACAATTTCATCGGGCACATCGCACTCCCCTGAAATAATATATGGAGTGGGCATATTCTTCAGGTTCACGTATGAACAAAACTGCCATGTATCCAGTCGCACTCAACCGCAAGATTCAACCCAAATACGGAGTGATAAGCTCCCAAGCAGCCACCCACTTCTCCTCGTCGTCAAGCTCCACCATAATCATGACCTCCAGCTTCTTCTCCTCTTCATCACCCATTGCCAAATCAAAAATCAGCCGTGCAGCAATTTTCTTGTTGTCGCAAGCGAAAAATAACAAGGAACTGTTGATCTTCGTGCAGTTTTGGCGGAAGAAAGTAATTTTCTCAACGGCGCGCTCAAAGTCCGTTCGGTCGCTACCAGCTTCCAAGCGAACATAGTTGGGGTTGAGTACTTCTTCACAGAATGAACGAGCTTCGCTTGGGTTTCCGGTGAAGATTCTATCCCAGATCGATTTGAATTGCTCGGGTGTCATTCTGAATATTGGCAGCTCGTAGAGAAGATGAATAAACCGTTGTGTTGGGGTTCAGGCTTTCGCGAAGTAAGAGTGAAAGATTACACTGTATGTTGCTTTGGCACGATAGCCTTCTAGCAATTTATAATCTGCTTTTTACAGGCTGAAGGAGAAGTTAATGTGGCTATGGTGTATAGTAGGGTCTTTTTAAGGCCAATCCAGCACCATTTAATCGATAAGGCGTCCCGTCACGCCTTGCGAAACGACCAGACAAAGATCACCGCTCCGCTCCCGCGGGATTGTCCGGAATCTAACAAGCACAGTAGACACACAGCTTACGAGTAGCAGCGTGGGCCATTAACCAATCTGCGCACGTACATTCGTGGTCAGACCCGCATGGAAATACATATTAATTAGTACAGTTGTCGCTGACTGCGCTTACTTAGCTGAGCTGCCCAACATTTCCACTGAGTATTACACTGGCCCTACCAGAATATGTTTTCCCATGGGATTATCTTGACAACAACCGGTACCATAGCTATACTCTAAACAATTGGGGACAGTATCAACCTGCAACACTATCTCCGACGGAGCTATTCGGATACCTCCTGCACCCAGACAACGCGAATCTCAAAATTGTAGACATCGCTGCAGGAACCGGGTAGGTTCTTATTTTGCGACTATCGGAGTTAGTGGTTGGCCAGTATACTGAAGTACGTTGTAGAACCGTTCTTACCGATTTAAGTCGTCATCTTCCTTCGTCAGCGTAGCTTGGTGCGTTTGACTCCTCATTAGACGCCTTTCCGCTCGAAGAGAGAGTTACTCCCTCGCAATGTTGGTTTATGTAGATGGGATATTAAAGTAGACGTACCGACAGAGCTCGAAGGAGCTTACGATGTAGTCCATGTCCGCAATATAGTATTTGTGTTATCAGATGAGGAGATCGAGGACGTTCTCAGTAAACTACTTAAACTCCTATGTATGATCATTTATAAGTGAACTTCGCTCTTTGCCCGAGAGACTGACATCCCACGGCTATAAGACCTGGCGGCTATCTTCAATGGGGGGAAGTGGATACCCACTCCCTTCGCATAGATAAGGTTAACGGCGAATGCAGCACCGCCGCCATTGAGGAAATAGTGCGGATCTCTCGCTCCGCAGACCCCAGATTGGTGCCTCACTGGATTCCTGAGCTTCCGCGGTTATTTGAGAGTGTTGGGCTCGTGGATTTAGGAAAAATACTCTTGAAGGACCCGGATACATGGATTATACCTTTCATGAGTGTGTCTTGATGGTACACGATATGATTGCTCGCAAGACAAGGAATGAGGAAGTAGGACGGCGTTTGAAGGAGATTCTCCCAGAGGTTTTGAAGGACACATACAATGACGCATTTCATGCGTGGACCAGGCAGACTGTTATTGGAAGAAGCCTAAATAACTGTGATAGTAAACGTGGTTTCTTTGGTGGTTGGAGTGACTATATAGTAGATTAAACTAGTGGTTAGGTTAAGGTATCATTGGAGGACATGACGTATTACTGTATCATGACAAATTAAGTAACAATATCACACCTATAGAACGATGAAGTCTAAGACTTGGAAGGAGTACTTCGTAATCAAGAATTACGATCTAGATGCGAAGGAATGCTCTTTCGAAGCATACACCCTTCGGGCCAACTTCAGCAGCATGATGTGCCGCCGTAAAAAGCGGGATTAATCTTTGCCATGCGCAGAGCACGCTTCCATAGGTCCCACGCTGGTTCTAGAAGCTTCGTGTTCATGTCAGTTGTGCGTGATCAATGTGACCTTCATGGGCTTGACAAGAGATCAAGCTGCGCCAGAGTGTGGTATCACCGACATGCATACCAAATGCGGAATGCAGATCAGTGGTTCTTTCATCCACGTCGCAGGAGAGGGGTAGAGAGTTCAGGGCGTGCACGGACCGTATCGGGTTCTTGGGTGGGTCATACGAGCCGCTTTGCTGGGTCGCAATTTTTGTACCCTTTACTTAGGATATTTTGGCATATGATGCAGTTTAAACGAGGTGGATCACGAAGGAGGTCGGCTTTCACAATGAATCCCAGCGATGTGCTTTCTCGAATTGGAAAGTGGCTTTGGTTCACAGCCTGAGGGTTCCAGCGGTACTGATGCCATGTCAAGGACATCACTCCCTGTTTTGGTTGTTGACCGCTTGCAAAACAAAGGGAGGATTGCAGTGAGTGATAGCTATAAAAGCTGCACCTTGTCATAATGCTCTCTGGAATTCTGGACCGAAGGAAATCACTCAGCAGTCTCCTCCCTGGTACTATTTCAATATGGCTCCGTCGAAGCAGGGCATTGAGGCCCTTGGCTCTACTATCGCTGATCTCTCGAAGTCTCTCGCCAATCAGCTAGAGGCATTGAACCAGCCAGAACCATCATTCGCGATCGATTCTCCAGCATCCTTGCCCCAAAATGCAGAGATCCAAGCTACTCGGCTGAAGCTCTTGGAAACGCTGGAAACCCTTCACCACCTTATTGTCGGCCCGAGTGACTTCTGGTTTCAGCAAAGCATGTTTGTAAGTATACAGAACAGCAAGCATCTTTGTCCTTCAGGATACTCCAGACATACTAACGCAGATTAGCTTAACCATGCACTCCTTGCCTTCGATGTTTTCAACAACTTCAACTTCTGGGACGCCGTCCCTCTCAATGGCTCAGCCAGCTACGCCGACATTGCAAAGTCAACCAACTTGCCCGAGCAAATTGTGCGACGGATCCTCAGATTAGCATTCACAATCTTCGTTTTCGCAGAGGAAGCGCCTGGCTCTGACCGAGTGGTGCACACGGCGGCTTCAGCGCACATTGTGCGTTCCCCGTTCGTTAAGTCATATCTCGAACATAATATGGAGGATGTCCGACCGGCTGCTACTGTGGGAGTAGATGCTTTAAAGAAGTGGTTTGTTGGTCAATCCGAGCCTCCCGAGGATGTTGCAGCCTGCGCAATCGCATTGGCGACATATGATGGCCATCAGATTGGTAGAGATCTGTGGTATCTTCTCGATAACTCTGAGCGACCCGGTCAGCCCAAAGGGTTCCGAGCGAAGCGCTTTGCAGAGGCAATGCAGGGGCTCCGAATGACGAGTGGAGTCATGACTGAATCTGTGTCGAAGCAGTTCGACTGGGGTAGCTTGGATGAGGCAACTGTTGTTGATGTAAGTTTTCCCCGTCCCGCTCCTGTTAACCGGATAGAATAAGAGGCTTTATACTAATGTAAACTAGCTTGGAGGATCAGCCGGGCATATCAGCGTTATTCTTGCTGAAAATTATCCGAAACTCAATCTTATTGTGCAGGATCTCGCCTCGGTGGAGTCCGCCTTCAACGAAAACATCAACTCTACTCCCTATGCCTCGCACATCAAGTTTCAGACCCATGACTTCTTCCAACCCCAGGTTCTCCCCGCAGACGTGTTTCTGCTCAAGTCAGTCCTGCATGATTGGTCCGACAAATATGTGTCGCAGATTGTTCGTAACCTGCTTGGCGTCCTAAAGCCAGGAAACCATTTGGTGGTTTTTGATTTCGTCATGCCTGAGGATTATGACGAGGAAACGGGCGCGAAGCCCCCATTGCCGGTAAGGAAGTTGGTTGCATCGATGGACATGCAGATGTTTGTTGGCTGCAATTCCAAGGAGCGGAAAGTGAAGGATTGGAGCGACGTTATTAAGCGAGCTGATAGCCGGTTCGAACTGAAGGAGGTTCATGTACCTCGAGGATCGCCCTTGGGACTCCTTGACTTTGTGTTTCAGGAGTAGTTTGCCTTAGGAGCGGTCGGTGTGAGACCGCTAGGTTCCAGAACGTATTCAATTATTCGGTTAGTGGTCTGTTTGAATAGAACTGAACGCTTTATTCGTTGGAATTTAAGAGCCAGGAGCAATTGAAAAACAATGACCAGTCAAGATTTGTTTATCCACCCGAATTGGGAGCGTAGCGTAATCGCCCATAGGGTCATGTGCTCAGTTTTTATTTTCGGAATACACCAAGGAAACCAAGCTTCGAGCCGATAGAGGTGTGATTGGTTCGTAGCCCGGATCTCACCGGCAAAATGGGACGCCTGAAACCAGCCCAAAGAGGCTTAAGCGCCAGCTCCTGCAGCTACGCCTTGCTGACATGATTACCAGCTGGCGGTTCACATATATCCTGTCCTGTATCCAGTTATAATCTTTCCCGGGAGGTAGACTGGGCGGACTGCGGGAAGCGGCTATGCGGATGAGGCCCTGCCCCAGCTTCTTCCTTGGACCCGCACAGTACCTAACTAGGAGAAGAGCATTTACAACAACAATGACATCGAAAAGAAAATATACCTGGACCTTTACTGCACCGTCTCCATCAAAAGCAGCACCCCAGAGTGCGAGCAAAAAGACCCATTGGGTGAGAGATGAAAGTCAAACCGAGGAAATCAAGGGCTTTCGAAATCCATGGGAGAGTTCGCGCGACTTCACCTTCTCGGAAATATTCAAATCTATGATCAGGTACGCACTCTTTCTTTGGTAACAGCATTTGAGGGGCTGACAAAGTTCTGCAGACACAAGTTCTTCTCAGGAAACAGCCAGAAGCCTGACACCACTTTATCGACCGTACCTGTAACGAAGCCAACATTTCTACCAGCTGCCACATGTCCAGACTTGCTGCGTGCAACATGGCTAGGTCACGCCTGCTACTTCGTTGAGTTCCCGAGTGGTCTACGCGTTCTCTTTGATCCCGTGTTCGAAGAACGTTGTTCGCCGTTTTCGTGGATGGGACACAAACGATTTACGCCTACCCCGTGCGATATATCTGACATTCCGATCATTGATTGTGTAGGTCTTGACACCCACGTTCTGTTTGCGATAATGCCTGACATATAGGTCGTGAAGGTTGTGATTAGCCACTCCCACTACGACCATCTTTCGTACCCGACAGTTCTTGAAATTCAGAAACATCACCCATCAGTCAAATTCTGCGTACCTAAGGGCCTTAAAAGGTGGTTTCAGGACTGTGGCATAGATAATGTCATTGAGCTAGATTGGTGGGAGGATGTCAATCTCGAGTTGACCACCACGACCGACAATAACACTTCAGACTCCACTTCAATCCCACCACCCAACGATACCTCAGCCACAGCAACAATCTCCTGTCTCCCCTGTCAACATACATCCGCGCGCACCCCCTTCGACAAAGCAACGACATTATGGGCCTCCTGGTCCGTTTCCTCCGGTGGAAAGTCGGTCTACTTCGCAGGTGACACAGGCTATCGCGTTGTTCCACACCTCCCGAAGGATGTTGATGACTGGAGCCCGGAATACGCCGATCTACCAGTCTGTCCGGCTTTTAAGGAGATCGGAGAGTTCGTTGGACCGTTCGATCTTGGACTCATTCCGATCGGAGCATATAGACCACGACACGTCCTGAGCACTGTTCATTCAAATCCGTATGATTCTGTGGAAATATTCAAGGATACGAGATGTAAGAAAGCTATTGCGATTCACTGGGGCACTTGGGCTGTTGCGGAGGAGGATGTAATGGAACCGCCACGACTGTTAAAGGATGCGCTGGTTAAGAGCGGTCTACCTGAACTGGGAGTGTTTGATGTGTGTGGCATTGGTGAGAGTAGGGAGTTTTGAGATGAGACTATCCGGAGTGGTGTTGTACTTTTTGATTTTACCGTCTGGGCCTTATACACATATATTAGCTGCTTGATTATGTGATTAAGAGGGATTGGAAGACTGAGTCCAACTTTGTGGTCAGACGATTTAGGCAAGTGCTACCCGCAAATACTGGAATATATCATAATTAGCTTGTCGACCGTATAACATGGTACAATATGTGGTAATTCTTTATGTATAGGTTTTTCTAAGCGGCGTTTGTACCGCTAATATTTATCCTTGGAGAGAATAATAGCGTCCAGTCTTCGGACTGGAGATCTGTAGTACGATTCATTTCTTTTGACTATTTCTGTATGCTATTTGATTTATCCTCGTTCCCTTCGCAATTGAAAATTGCCTGCGCTCATGCACTTAAGAAACTTCAAGACGCCCTTACCAACTATACTGTAGAAAAGCTGGTCGCGCTCGCTCGTGGACGTTGAACAGCGGAAGCAGCGGCACAACTTGTTGATGAATAAATCGAGTAAGTACATTCCCGTACTTCCTATACGAGACTTAGGCCGCCCTTCCTAAGAGCCTGCCGTGTCACCCTGACCGACGGAAGGGAACGGCATTGCATTCCATCGCACTCGACGCAAATGCCTGGCAGGATCCTTGATGGCATCCCGCCCATGGAGCCACTTATGGTTGTCCAGTATGACAATTGACTGTTCGGGTAAGTCCGTCCCTGTCAGGTGTAACATGGACTGAGGACTTTTTGCCAGCTCATTCAACGCATCCTTCAGCTCCTCATATGCTGCCGCAGCCCTGGGGTTCATGGGCTCTATCAGGTCTTCTCGGAACCTCACTACCAGCGAATTATCCATCTTGTCCAATCCAAGGATGCTCCCCATTATGTGCTGTTGGTCAGGCTGTTTGAAAAATTCAGGAGGAATTTTGATTTTGAACTCCGGTTCGAATAGAGCTTTCTGTACGGCCGGGGACAGGTGATGCGCGAGCTTGGCAATCGTCATGAGGGACAGGGTACCCCCACCGTAGCGATCAGGCTGCAGAACTTGAAGCGCAAAGTATTTCGGGGGTGCGCTCTCGTAGCTACAGTCAGTGTGCCACTGGAACTCTTGCATGGTTTCTGATCGTGCGAGAGGAACTCGTGTTTCAAGGCCAGCAGAGCTGGGGCGAACATCCCAGAACCAGCCTCGGGAAGCGCTGTGGCGTGTAGGAGGCCCATGTCCGTGATGAGCGCAAAGGTTAAGTATTATGCGCTCCAGGTATTGGCTGTCGTCATCGGGAAACTGGAGGCGTATCTTCAGAATGCCGCTGGTTCGGAGATGATGGTGGATGTCCCCAAAATGGGAACGACGCTGGGAGTCGAGCATCTCACGAGCCGTCACGGAAGGTATGCCTGGCGTGACTTTGGCTGCGAATTGACGACATAGTAGACGATTTTCGGGAAGATGCCGCGTGGAGCCACACCTTCTAGCTCTCAAACTATCGAGTGCAACTTTGATCCTTCTCATCGGGGCCAGATTCAGCTTCGTACGACACGAGAAGAGTCTTGAACAGTCAGAAGAGAGTCAGAAGAGAGTCAGAAGAGAGTCAGAAGAGAGTCAGAAGAGAGTCAGAAGAGAGTCAGAAGAGAGTCAGAAGAGAGTCAGAAGAGAGTCAGAAGAGAGTCAGAAGAGAGTCAGAAGAGAGTCAGAAGAGAGTCAGAAGAGAGTCAGAAGAGAGTCAGAAGAGAGTCAGAAGAGAGTCAGAAGAGAGTCAGAAGAGAGTCAGAAGAGAGTCAGAAGAGAGTCAGAAGAGAGTCAGAGGATGGTGAGAGGATGGTCAAAGGAGGGTCAGACAAGGGTCAGAGAAGAGTAAGATATAGCGCACAAGAACGTATCGTGATATACCTCGCCTGGTATGAATCGATGTCAGTCTGTAGGAACTGAATCGCAAATCCTGCCCAAGGTAGTGTCTGCGCTATGATATTCTACCTCGAAACGGGTGACTGTAAATAATGCTGAAAGGAAGGCTCGTGTTACATCTAGAAGAAGCAACTTCGAGAGTCAGGGTCTGTTGAGTGGCTGATACACTTTGCAGCCGACAACTGAACACACCCCCCAGACTCGTTGAATATGAGTGATTATAGGAAGGAATATGTGGAGAAATTGTGTGTGTCCGATCGCAGTCATCAAGGCAAGGGTTGAGGCACCTGTCTTCCTCGGACCACTTCGCGAGACCCTAGCGCTAATCAGCAGCAAGTCGGAACAGTGTATCTCTTGATAGATGTCCCTTTATCCGGAGAATGAACTGAGTGTTACCACGTATAGGTGGAGTCAGAATCATCAGTGAATTAAGGGCCAGGTGCCTCGCCGGAATGAAAAAGAAAAATAGGACTATACGTTTTCAGAACCATGCTGCCAAACATTACCGCCTGCTTCTACACCAGCGATCTTTCCTGTTGAGGGAGGGAGGTTGGTTTGCCAGGATGATGGAGAAGGATCCGAGGCCATAAGGGATGTTGTTCTAGGGGGCTAGGGTGTGATTCAGAGGATCGAGACAGGATAGAAGTAATGGTTTATTTAGTGGTTAACGGAAGAGGTTTTTTTGGGCTTTCGAATGTATCAACTCGAGATAGGGTACCTCGTGACCGTTGAAATATATTTCATGCATCGCGAGGTAGTATTTCCCTGTTGCACTCGGTTGCGTCGACAATTGGTTTGTTGAAGATTCCAGCCACTCTATGAAGTTCATAATCTAAGTTTCCACATGGCACAGATTAAATTTGTACCTGTAAAAAAAAAAAGGGGGCGCCGAGGGGGGAGAACTAACGATGAGGCGTGTGGCTCAGCCTTACCCGCTCAGTCCGGCGTACCTCTATTTCGTCAAAGACCTTAAATGGTTTTCCACTGCGACCGCAAAGCTCCGAGATATGACAGGTTCCGTTAACTGTTATGGCTCATAGTCTCAATTAATGTGAGTAACTCTATTCTCTAAGTATGTCGCAAGTATATTTCCATATCCAATTCTAAATATAACCAATTTTTCCCTAGAAACTCCTAACTCTAATACCGCGCTAAGCAAGCCCGGATCAATTCCGACCGTCAGCTTGTGCTCTATGAAGACTCGTCTGAGACTCCGACTTTCCCGAATTTCTCAGGGCATCATGGTCATGATCTTCATCGCCAATTTTAGACCAGATTGTATCTGTGCCCTTCAGCCACGGCCTCATAGGATGTGAGCGCAATGCATCAGACTGCCCTGAGCGATGTGGTTGCTCCGAATCCTCGTATGATGGTTCGCTGGGCTTGGAGCCAAAGCCGAGAGATTGCTTCACACTACGCGGCAGTCCTGATTCGATGATGAGTTTCGACAGGCAGGGTACACTGAGAATGAAGAAACCGCATGTCATTTCTCCGCAGGCCCAGAATAGTAGTGGGCCGATGAGGTACATGGTATCGGTTGTGTTGGCGAAGGCGACGGTGTGGGAGAGGCGGAAGCATGCGGCGACGGAGGCGCTGGTAGAGGATGATGTTAGTTGGATTTCATTGTCAAGTAATGAATTTGAAAAACGCACAGTATACCGACGCCGAAAATGATTGAGACTCCGATTTTCTTTTGCCAATTCATTTGGAGACGCCAGATAATTCGCTGTGGGAGAAAGAACATGGTGATATCTGAGGCGACCTGGACGCTGGCAGAGGTGAGCATCACGTCCGGAAGGGAGTAGCATTTGCTTGGAAGATAGAACTTCCAGATAGCTTCGTGAGGCCTGCATTGCATGTTTAATAATAGGATGCACAGCACACCCCATACACACTGCAGTGTTATCACGGAGACACATCCCCACCAGAAGGCGTTCCTTGTGCGGTTGAGAGGGACGAAGATCCTGCACCAATCTAGTAGGATTGCAGTCTTGATGAGAGGCAGGACGGCCGAGTAACAGCATCCGTAGATGAGAATCAACTGGTGAATTAATGGTCAACTGCAATGCCGTTTGCCTGCAGGCGGGTCAACGTACATAAAGAGGCCTTATGAGGTCTTTGTTGTGTAGATTCCACGTATGAACGTAATACCCTGGGGTGTAGATCAAGGCATACCCTGCGTAAGCTGTACCCCAATAGGCGCCCTAGATGGAACATTAGATTAAGTACAAGCTAGTAAAGGAACCAGTGTCAAGCAATACATATGCACCAATCATCAGCACTATTGGAACAGGGGATTTTGGTTAGTCTCGCTCTTTCAGTGAGCAATAGAAGGTGAAGTGTGAAAGCATCACTCACCTTCCTCGATACCAACCCTTCTATCCAACCATAATCGAGCAAAGATTCGCAAGAGAAAGCATATTGTGAGTACAACCGTACAGAAAGTCGTTACCACCCAAGCCAGCGTATTGCTATTCGGTGGGTTGTCAAAATTTGCGGTAACACCGGACGGAGCTGCCAGAGCTGGCTCATCGAGGAGAGTCGCCAGTGCTTCTGGTGACATCTCGCGCAAGACAGGTTGTCAACAATGGCACAACTTCAGACATGTTCGAAATCCGAGAGAAAACTTAATGGTTGTGGGGTGTCGAGGCTTCAAATGTCACTGCGCATAAATCCACGCATGAACTGTTTGATCGTCAGTGTGATAGGCCCAATTTTTGCGATTACGGACCGCTCAGGGGGTGCCGCAACTTGGTGCCTGCTGCTAATGCAAGGCGCACACACACCATTCGCCTGGGCCGTGGACTGATTTTGACGATGCCCTTTTTCGGGATGGTCGCGCTTAGCGCACTTGGTAGCTACGTTATTTTAGGGCGATATAGGATGCATGCTGTATACTACATGAAGGCTGGACCGTACGGAGTACGTTACGTTTTATAAACGAGTAATCTAGCCCTGATGCTTTGCTCAGAGTTTGAATAAGGTACTTAATGTTGCGTACCGGCTGGTCGTGTGAATGACCTGGCCTGTTGATCACGGCCTCTCAGTTTGCGGCACACGACGCCCTGTGGAGATGAAAGGATCACAGCTTATCGCTTTCTGGAATAGTGACAGGAACGGCGTGACACTTAATCTAATAGAGTAGGTGCAGTGGGACACCAGGATAAGCGATGGGCTCGCCTTGCACCGGAACCCTGCCGCTGTGGAGCCGACTAAACTGCGACTAGAGCATAGACGACTAAGAAAAGAGTCCGCTGTCGTTGGCAGGACGCTAACATACCGGAAACGGGCCGTCGAGACCACAGACTCGCAGTAATAGTTTGACAGGTCCCAGGTGGCTTGGATCCTTTCTGACAGCCTCGTTTTTGACTGCGCAAGCCGTTCGAAATGACCCTGTTGAACCCCGACCTTCGCTAACTGGAAGGAGTGATGGCTGCATTGGCCCCTTGTTCCCGTCATATCACTTCTGTTTTTTATTATGTGTAGATTAGCTTGATCAAGACTTTACCGATATTCCTCCGCCAGTCTGTGGCTTCGTCGAAAGTCTCCTTCTTCTATCCTAGTTAAACTCCCACGCCGTTAGGCCGTCTCCACTTTCCATGCAGCATGTCATTCCATAAATGCTCTCGGTCCCCGCGGGGTTCCCAGTCTTGTGCGACAGTTCATTCCCTGCCACCCCAACGAAGTCATGACCCTTAGTGAGTCTTGAGATATAAAACCCCAACTCCATGGCGCACAGGACTAACAGCACGGTTGTCTCAGACAGCACAGCACAGCCTCCCGTTCGGGATGAGTACCCACAGCGTGCGGACTTGCGCCGCATGATGAACCAAAACCCTCTCCCGACTCTGCCCCTTGATCTGATCGATCCGTCGGCCATGGTTGGTGACGAAGCAACAATCCAAGCACGCGGCGTGTTAAACACTTTGAATAATGCATTGGCCATTGGCGATATGAAAGCCTTGGAAGGTTGCTTCTATGCAGACCAAGCATACTGGAAGGATCAATTGGCTCTGACATGGCACTTGCGCACATTCAGCGCTCCTCGTACTATTGCTGCAAGTCTGCTGGAGACAGCAAATCTAAGAAATGTTCTCGGTGGTGTTGAGGTTGACGGAGCTGCCGTGTTTCTTCCGGCCACACCGGTTCTGGTAGGAGTCTATTTGGTTCACTTATTTGCGACAAGCACTGACCATGTATTTCCTCGTTCAGCAATTCATCGATTGTCCGCTCGTTTTTAAGACACAATCGCCTTCGGGTCTCTGTCGCGGTAAGATGTTGCTACTGCCTGTTGTAAATGACGAGCAAAGGATCGCCTGGAAGATCTGGATCTTGAGCACTAGACTCGAGAGCTTGGATGTGCAACCAGAGGATGAAAACCTACTACAGCTCCCCGGGAGGAAACTGAATGAATCAATGGATTTCGAAACCGATGTTTTTATCATCGGTGCAGGAAATGCGTAAGACTCGGTTCCTGGCAGCTTTTTGATTATTCGCTAAACATATTTAGCGGAGTCGCTCTCTCCGCACGTCTGAAGGCGCTGGGAGTTGAGAGCGTTATAGTCGACCGCAACCCTTGCCCTGGTGACAATTGGGCCCTTCGATATGACTGCATGCAGTTCCACATCCCCACAGCATTCTGTGAGCTTCCGTACATGTGTTAGTCATCTCTGATCACTTCTCCTTACTTGATCCATATACAAGAGCAATGCGTTAACCCAAGCAGGCTATGACAAAGAGCTTCAGACTCCTCACCTCCTTACGCGCCAGGACCTGGCTTCACAGGTCCGTCGTTATGTGGAGACATTTAGTTTGAATACTATCCACTCCGTCAAAGTCCAGTCGACAGAGTACGATGAGGTGGCTAAAAAGTGGCATGTTACTTTTGCGTCACCTGCTGGTCAGCGCAGGGCTACCTCAAAGCACCTCGTCATGGCAACGGGCATTGGGTCTCAAAAGCCTAACATGCCACAAATCGCAGAGCCTCAACTGTACAAGGGCATCAATGTTCACTCGGCCGAGTACAAGAATGCCAAGCTACTGCGAGAGCAGGGAGCAAAGGTATGTCTGTTTCAAAAATTCCGATGAGAATCCCAAGCGACGCTAACCGTACAAGTCTGTAATGGTTATTGGCTCTGCAAATACAGCATTCGATGTACTTGCCGACTGCCACAAAGCGGGCCTTGATGCGACAATGGTCGTTAGGTCCCCTACTTATATTGTGCCGCTCGAGTATGTCTGTGATAAGAACAGTCTCGGTGCGTATGATGGTGGCGTCGATGCGGCCGATAAACTTATACTATCGCTGCCTGCAGTCGTGGACGGCCAGCTAGCCCGTGGTTTGTTTGCCATGCTCGCTGCGAACGAACCGCAGCGATACGCTGCACTTGAAGCAGCTGGCTTCCCCGTCCTAGATAGCCGAAACCCAGACTGCGCATTGATGCATAATCTGCTCGAGCGTGCCGGCGGACATTATGTCGATGTCGGTGGCACAAAGCTGATCGAGGAGAGAAGGGTTAACGTAAAAGCGGGGGTCGAACCTGTGGCTTATACGAAATCAGGTCTTCGGTTCTCCGACGGTAGTTGTGTTGATGCGGATGCTATTGTTTGGTGTACTGGTTTCTCAGATTCCAACATTGTAACAACAGCCACGGAGATTCTTGGTGGGGAACCGAGCACCAATGAGTCGGCAGGTGAAGCTGAACCTAATGGGAGCGAGAAACGGATCCTCGGACCTCGAGACATTGCCTCGCGCTTGGATGCGACCTGGGGTCTTGATGAGGAGGGCGAAATTCGTGGCATGTGGAAGCGACATTTGAATATTGACAACATCTGGATTATGGGAGGTTACACGCAGCAGCACAGATGGCACTCGCGCACCCTCGCGCTACAGATTAAAGCAGCCTTGGAAGGAATTCTTCCACCAGCTTATCGGCATACCGCTGCGGTGGAAACTGCGGACGTGAAGGCTTCGCTGTGATTCCTATCTTTGTTCGGCTTTACGGGTTACTGACTCCATACGTAAATATGTTCAGTTAATTTGGTTACATCATGATAGTGATATATACATTCATACTATTCATGTCGCGCCTGCATCATCCAGCTAGTCGCCACAACAAACTTTCACAGATGATTGTCATTAAAACCAGCGAAAGACCCATACAACGATGAGATGCCGTATTATCTGAGTGCAGATATCCTTCTCTGGCAGACCATTCATCCCCACATGCAGGACAATGACTTGACGCTCCGCGATATAGCCCGGCCCGACACCGTTCAACGTTTACAAAATCATACATATCCTGACTGCACCTGTCCTTCAACTTCATCTTCTTCACCCTTCTTGGCCTCCTCCTCCTCTTCTTTCTCCACATAATCTTCCCCTTCCTTCTCATCCTCATTCTGCCTTCCTCTCCTCTCCATCTGCTCCAGGAAATTCGCCCAAAACCTCGGCTTCACCTTTCTCTGCAACCACTCCTGATCCTCCGGGTGCTCTGCCATATAATCAAGTTCACGTCTCGATAAGAACTGCGCCTTCCGCAGTCTTCTCCGGACAATATCTCGCATCGGCGGTATTTCCCCGCGGTCGAACGGGCCCGGTGTGAACGGGATGTCTTTCAGTTCGGCTTGAACGTCTTCGCTTTCGAGGATATCTGGCTTGGGGATGCTGAAAGAGAGTTCGTTAGTTTACCTCTGATATTCCTTTCTGGGAAAAGAGTGGCAGGGAACATACAACTTCTCTCCATCCCACGTCAAACACTGAATCGGCACTTCCTCGTCCTTCCCATCCGGGGCGTCCCCATAATCCAATAAAAAGAAACACACCCGGTTGTTGTACCCGAAGTCATCGCCGTAGGAGTACCAGCGTTGCAGGCCTGGCTCGAATGGATAGTCCCAGACATGGTTGCAGGTTCGGTCCAGCATGGAGAAAACCTTGTCGCCGTAGGGCTCGCCGTTTGCAATGAGGTTGTCTGAGGGGACGAGGTGGGTGAGGGTTTGCACGAGGACGCGCATCGGAGAGGGGGTGAGAACTATGGGTGGAAACATTCTGAAAGGTGCTCTACTAATAGTGTAGGAGGTGTTAGTAGTAGTATTAGAATTGAAGAAATTCCGGGGTGGAAACTGCGAATATATGTAAGTTTGCTAGGTAGTTAATGATAGACCGCTCAAGGCTTGAGAGCGTCTACAGCTGGTGGTGTGCTGGGGTCGTGGAAATGATGCCCGGCGCTTACAAGACTGGGGATTGGGAAGGAGTACCGTGTTGAAAGGTGGATGATGAGGCGACTAACTAGGAAGACTACTATGCGTGGTTTGGACAGGCAGACCGAGGCGCTTCAAGAAGCACTCCAGATGCCAATGACTTTCAGCTATTTATGCTGATCACAAATCCTGCCATTATAGCCCAAGGCCTGTGTCCAAGCGTGCCGGGGATGGGCGCTTAGAACAGGGCTGATTATTATACTCCGTTATCTCCCCCCTCCCCAATGAAACCCCCACATACTGCCCATTTCGACCGCTCTACTGACCGCTCTCAGCGGCAGAACTCTTTCGACCTCGCAAAGAAAAGTACGGGTATAGGCGGATATCAGCGGATATATTTTTATACAGCTCCGGAAAAGAGACTCTGGATTCTGTTGGTTTTCGTACCGCCTTTGAGGGAACTGGCAGAATCGGTGACCATATGGTGTCTATCTCATTCTATCAGTCTGTTTGGCTCTGCTGTTGTGCTTCTCGTCGATGGAGATGCTTCTTGGTACTGCTAGCTCTACTGTGGACTGCATTACTGATGTTTTTGACAAGGTCGTATCTTTGTGGGCGCGGTTGGGGAATTTCTGCTTGGATTGCGTGTTTCTTCATATCGTGTGAGGGTGAGGACAATTAAATTGTCATATTCATTCAAGTACCACTATGCTGAATGAAGAGGCTCATGAAGAGATACACGCTAATGCTTCTGACCAGGCAAGTGTTGGTGTACATCAAGCTTCCAAGTTAACATGTCCTACGGACGCCTTCTAAAACATCATAATAGCCGAAGAAACCGTACCGCTTTGCCCTTGATAATCTGAGGTTTGGTGTACGACGGAGCTTCAGGCTCAGTACTCGAAGCAGGTACTTTTGCAACACCACGGCCGGTACCCGTAGTAAGGAGCTCACACAATTCAGGTCTCGGAAGCTCCTGGAATCGCAGTCCGGTGCATCCTCCTACAATCTGTCCATCGGACAAGAGATACACCTCGCCAATGTGTAATCCGCTTTCTGTCTCGGCCTCTTGCATGTGCACGTAGCTGGTATACTCCCGATCAGGTGACAGGTCAGCTGGGGCCCAGAGCTTCCACCAGCCTGTGCAGATGAATGATGTGTCCTCTGGAGCGTTGTCGTGTGCGTTGAGAGCGAAGCTGCCTAGTTGGATGAACGAGTCCATCCAGTACGGGCTGACAGTGAAGGTCTCACCGGTCGTGGGTTTGGGAAACTTGATTGTGGCCGTTGCTTCTCGGATTTCTTCGTACATAGTGATTTCCCGGATGCATCGGTAGCGGGGACCGTACACAATGGGTTGAGAGAAGAGTCTATAAATCATGCTGTTGCGAAGATGATGAGCCGAGCCGGTGCGGGATGCTCGTTGCAGGGTATCACATTTGGCCTGAGTGTGATGGCTTCTGTCCTTCAAGTCTTGCTTCGTAGAATCGCTCGCGTCGAAGTAGACAGTACATCGGGCATGTCGTTGCTCGTCTGGGCTGGATGGGGTCCGCGTGGTACACACGACTTCCACGCAGTTGCTTCCCTTGCTGCGTTCGGCGCGGACCTTGAGAACAGGGAAGGGTTGATCCTGTCGCACGACGAGTGGCTGAATAATTTCCATGTTGGACACATTCATGGAAGGTACGTCGGTGACTGCTTCCATTGCTTTGAACGTGTAAGAGGCAGCTGTCAAAGCCATGTCCGTGTAGACCGAGCTTGGACAGACGCCCTGGCTCAGCATGCTCTGGCCTTTGAGAGCAGAAAGTAAGGTTTGTTGCGAGAGATCCGATGAAAATGTTACCACAGATCTGTTCTCGTCATGCACTTCTTTCTCTATATTGTGCAGGGTACTGCTAGAGAAAGTTTGCACCCTACTGGGTGCAATAGGTCTGCCTCCTGTCTTGAGTGCACCATTCTTCTGATATGGGATGCCAAAGTCCTTTAAATCGAAGGAATATGTGGGTAGGTCGAGAGGCTGGAGGTTGTTGGCATAGTCTGAGTGGAAAGCTCCCCAATTTATGTCTGATCCGATTGTATAAAGTTGAGTCAGTGCCTGTGAGATGACTTCCCAGTCATCCCGCTTAGGACTGAGGGAGAATAGCATGTGTTGCCCTGCGATCGATAGCTGGGATAGAGCCATGTCAGTGCAGACCGGTGTAGGGCCGATTTCAAGCCAGAGTCCTTTCCCTTTCTCGGTAAGCTTCATTTCGCAGGTTCGGACTGCCTCCTGGAAATTGACCGGCTCTCGGCTTTGCCTTGCAAGGTAACCTGATCCGAATATTCCAGCATTCTCAATAGCATGACCCGTGAGTGTGGAAATAACTGGCATCCGTGGGGTATTGAACTGAATGGATGAGCACAGCTGACGGTACTCATCCAGTGTAGAATCCATCTGTGGTGAGTGGAATCCGAATGGCACAGGGAGGAGTCGGGTGGGTGTCCCCGCTAGGTGGTCCTTGAGCAGGCAGAGCTGGTCATGCTCCCCGCTCACGACCGTTGAAGAGGGACCATTGAGACAGGATATTGTGCAACCAGCAAACTCTTCATATTGTAGCAGTATGTCTCGAATAGTTTTGGGATCGGATCCGATGGCAAGCATGCCGTGTGCGCCCCGAGCGCAGTCGCGCTGGATAAGCTGTGCTCTCGCTCCAACCATATATAACGTGTCGTAGAGAGAGAGAACGCCTGCTACGCACAATGCTGCGTACTCACCCAAGCTATGTCCCATAACCATTTCGGGTGTAACGCCCCATGCCTGCCATGCATCAGCCAGTGCCAGTTCCAACGAGACCAGAGCGAGCTGGCTCTGGACGGGTGTCATGTCGCCTAGCTCGAGATCGTTCCGTTTAATGATATCTACAAACGGTCCGTATCCAAGCTGTGCGCAGATAGTGTTACATTCAAGCAGTCGTCGTTTGAAGGCAGGACATGTCCTGAAGAGCTGTCGCCCCATCGCCGGATATTGTCCCTCTTGACCAGTGAAAACAAATACCCGGCTTGGTGGATTGCCAACAAGATCCAGAGGCAGGGGGTCGGCGAGCTCCTTCTGCAGCATCTCCTTGAGCTGCTGGACATGACTCACTGAATATGCGCGGCGGTACGCATGATGCACGCGTCGGGCAGTTGTCGTATATGCTACATCGGCCAGTCGCGCCTCGGGCTGTGCCTGCAAAAACTGTAGAAGTCGCTCTTGATTGCCTCTCAGGGACTTCACCGTCTGTCCGGACAGCGCCACTATATGGTTGTCGCGTTGGTCAGAACCCTCTTGAGGGATATCACAGGGATAACTTTGAATGATTAATGCCTTATTGTCTCCCTGAAGTGATGCTTCGTTAGTTGATCACTCGAGCCAGTCTTTATAGTTGACTTACCGTGGCATTGGAGTCGTTGACCAAAATGCGCTGCGTATTACCCCCCGGACGAGAGTGCAGGAACACCACTCCGGATTGAGGAACTTCAACTTTGCGATTGGCCAACTGTCGATTCGAAGCTGACTTGTTATCGAAATAAGGCAGGATAAACCCCCGTTCCAGCATGAGGACAGATTTGAGCACAGAAAGAATGCCAGTGGCCTGTTTCATGCCAGAAGTCAGCTGAGCCCTGGTAAAGTCTGTAGAGAATTGCATCAGGACTTACTGCTCCTACATTGCCGACATTCTGCTTGACAGAGCCAATGCGCCGGGGCTCACTTCCTTCAGGCGTAAATGACTGGAGATTCACGATCGATTCAATCTGGTCCAGACTTTGCTCGTCATCGGCTCCAGCCACTTCTACATAGTCTAGATTCTCCGGATCAAGACGGGCTCGTCGCAGGACATCTTTCAATAGCCGTTGCTGAGTCAACACGTTTGCATGAGGGTTGGAGAGGGGATGGGCTGTATGTCTAGAGGCCACAGCCGTGATAACACCCCGAATGCGATCATTGCCCTTGAGCGCGTCTGGCAGCCGTTTAAGTATAACCACACCCACTCCTACCGAGCGAAAGTGCCCGTCCTCATTGGAGTTGTACGCCCGCTCGGACAAGAGAGTACAGCCACCAACGACCGCAATGTCACACTCACCCCGACGTAGAGCATGGTACGCCATCTCCATAGGGGCTGTGGTCGAAGAAGAGGTTGTGTCAATGGTATATGAAGGGCCATCCCACATGAAGTAATCATTTAATCCACTAGCTCCCACAGCATCGCGAAGGTAGTCTGACTCGTCTGTGGCCTGTCCAATGAAAGTACCCACGCGCCGAGAGTTGCCGCTATGAGGGGTATACCCGGCACTTTCAAGTGCCTCGTACGTGGCGAGGAGTAGCAGTCGCTTGCATGGGTTAATCTCCTTAGCCTCATCAGGAGACACGTTGAACAGGTTGGTGTCAAACAGCCCGGCCTGGTCGAGGAAGCAGCCCTGTACCACTTGACTGCTGTCCATGACACTCTTGGAACTGTTCACACAAGGTTTGACATCAAGACGGTCTGCAGGTGCCTGGAGTAGTGTCAGCTTAGAGAATCGCAGCATCTCAGTAGATTAACTCACCCTTTTACAGATGCTCTGACTGTTCTCTAGTATCTTCCACAGATCATCCGGCGAGCCGACATCCGGAAGCCGGCATGACATTCCAACAATGACGACAGCGTTATCGTCAGCATTTAAGTACTCACCCAGGAAGGATTCGTCTATCAGTGAACCGTGCTGGTCGCTCGGTGCAACAGCCACCGTAGCATTGGATGTTCTCAGACCTGGAGGGAGTCCCCTCATCATCCTATTCCAGGAAACCCTATTTTGGAGCAGATCAACCATCATGAAATGCAGCAATCCGCGCAAGGAGGCAGTGGCATATGGCATGCCCGAACTCGGAGATACCACCGTAACGTTTCGCCGGACTCGGAGGTCTGGAACCTTCAAAGGCCCTAGAATATCTTCCAAGCTAGGTCTATTAAGATGGGGCGCATGGTATGCGGCGGCGATTGGCAGTTCCGACTTTGGAAGGTTGCTAATTGAGGAATGGCGCATAAGGAGGGAGAGTGTGGATGGAGGGCCACTGATCGTCACAGATGTATCAAGCTCGGAGCTTATATACGCCTGTTTATGTTCTGGAAGCTCCTTCACTGGGTCAATTATATATTGAGCAATGCTGTAGGTGAACTTGACGTACATGTTCCTCGTTAAAGAAAGAAATCACCCTCTCCAGCTCACCAGCCGAGGCCCGCTTCACTGAGACTGCCCAACTCTGGGTCGAAGCCTCAATGCAGCGAGATCGGCGGTCCACCTGGATTGCTAGGCGCAACGATAACATAACCATGAGCAAGGACAGAGGGAGCAACTCTGCTGGTGATGGGACAGTGGCCGCCAGAGCTGCCGGGAACAACCCAGTGCAGAGACCAATAATGTGCAACCTGGCAGTTTGGCCCCACAGGAGAGTTGGGTCCTTCTCTAGGTGTCTGTTTGATGTTAGCTATGAGGAGACATACTCCGCACTGATCAGTTACCCCTTGGTGCACTCACAGAATCAGACCCCCAAGTTGCGCTACGCAGAGCAGCACGGTGGATACAACGACATCATAATCCGTTCGCTGAGCGTATGCCTCAGCCATGGTATCCATTGAATCATAGTCATCAATATTAGTGCTCTCAGTAGTCGATACACCGGATGACCGTGAGCGGACGAGACGGTCGACGGCAGTCAGGAAGTCGCGTAGACGATTGTATTGGGTTGCCTTCGCATATAACTCTTTGATACGGGTGCATGAATCACTGGTTTGGTCACCGAAGCAGAGGAGTCGTGGGTGGGCCATTTTTTGCATATCAGAGAGGGCAATGGTAAAACAAATGCTGTGTGAAGGGATGTAAGAAAAGCTGAAGAGAGACTCAATACAAGATCATTAGACGCATGTGTCCAAAAATTGGCTGGGGGCGATGCCTGTTCTATATATCTCCATGCAGTTGAACAGCTGTCTGGTGGCTGCAGATATGGCTACCGCCATTTTCAACTCTAATATTGGCAATGCAGAGGTTCTGCTGCCAGCGCATATGGTAGAAGAATAAGGTGCGCGAGCAGCCCTACGCATTCAAGAGGTCTATGTGGGATCAACAAGCCTTCAGGTCACTGCACGGTAGATCGTTGGGGTTCATGCAAGTGGGCAGTCAGTCCCATGGAGAGAGCGTATATTCTCTGACTAGACAAGATCCCAACGCTCGGGCCTGGACAGATCACAGATCGACATATTGTGCGGTCGGAGAATTTTGACGGTTACGTAGTTTGTCGGTCTCGAACAGACATTACGTGGTGATCACCCGAAAGTAAATCTTGTCTTTATTCAAACTATCTTGTCCAGTGGTGTATCCGCCCGTCCGCGCAACCCAATTGATTCCACATGGAAAGCGCCCTCTATGCTTCTACACCCTGTCCTCGCCATAACAACTAGCAGTTAGGTCTACATTCGGGAGATGCCGTACGATAATTTTCGCGACCTGTAGATGCACAAGAAGCCAATCTGTCGCAGTTCCGAAAACCAGTTTCAAAAGCACTAGTGTTGAAGCCATTTTGTTCGGCTCTATCAATTGTACTAAACAAACGGAAATCATTTCCTTCCATTCGGCCATGTGCCACATCATCGAGCTTCTCTCGGGGACTGAATCTGCATATTTGCTGGAAAACGGAAATGATCCGAGCTGCCTTTTTTCTTTCTCCCTAAGATGAAACTTTATGTGGACGGGTCGAACGGTGGCGCAGTTGAAACTCTCGGCTGAACACAGCTCATTTGTGGAGAGCTATGCCTTGATATGATACTATCACCAATAGTCCAGTCGGCAAGTGGTAAATCCTGACTTACAGTAAATCAATTTCGCCTCTTATCAACGCATTTTTGCTTTGCTGGCTACCGACAATTGAGCCTACTCAACTGAGCTAGCAACCTTAAGTGGCGTCAAATTCCACCCACCAAAGCGCGGATGTAAGGACTTGATCCAAGTTTCATCACTATCGGACGCAGTTCCTATTATCACAAATCAGCGATTTGAACCGCGACGTTTAAGGTGATCTACCGATTTACTTAATCTTCGAGATAAGCGATCTTGTCGTGTCAACAGTAGGGTAATGCTTGGTCATGCTTTCCATGGTGGCACCAGGTAGTAAATTAGGCCGTGTCCGATAGCGGCAGCAAGAGGACCAACCTGCATGGCTAACTCAATATTCTTTCATAATAGACACTCTCCAATTACGCACTCACCCAGTGAATCCAATGGTACCCGGGAAAGGATGATCCCACATATACACCAAAGCATCTCGCCGGATTTAGTGCTGTACAAGCGGATTAGCTTCAGGATACTTCAATAGCTCAAGGTACTGTGAAGTCAATATGAGAAATCATACATGCACCCCCATAGCCCTCCCGCGTATACGAGGATCCCAAGCTCACGACCCCCAACACCATTCCCACTAGCCATGGGGACAACGCAGCCCCGTACACTCTAACCTGTCTGGGATCTAACCCAACACCGAATGACAGGAAGATCAGTATGAGGCAACAGATGAACTCCAGCACAAAAGCTTCTCGGACCGGCACTAGGGCGGTATCGACTACACACCCACCGACAGAATACTGTCCGGATCCGAACGCTGACTGTAGTATCCACCCGGCCAGAGCACCGCCGAGGATTTGGCCGGCGAGGTAGAGAACCATACGTGGCAAGGAGATAAGCCGCGCAAAAAAAGTGGCTAGCGTTATGGTCGGATTGAGATGGCTTCCACTGACGGCCGAGAAGGAGAAGATGAACAGGGTCAGTAGTGCCCAATTGGTAAAGGCACCGACAAGAGGACCGAGGAAGGCTGTTGTAGCAAAGATCCCAGCTGGTGTGGTGGGAGTCGGGGGAGCTACATTAGCGGGAGTAGCTGCCGACCACGCAGTAATGAAGGCTAGCATCATGGTTCCTGAGTCCATCATGGAGGGTTATCATCTTTCCCTACAGGTTGGATATCTATCCGGGAGGGTGTTACCAACGCATTCCACCACAGCAAAACGCCAGAGGTTAAGGTCGGTGAAACCGCGCACATTAAAGGCATCTCGCGCACTCATCAATGGAGCAGCATCTGGCACTTTACGCAGATATTCGGCATTATCCGGATCGGCGCGATCGAGGACAATGCCCTGATTGCCGCCTATGCGGCCGACGAACGGCGGCACATGGGGCTTGCTTGATAGGTGTTGGACATTGACGCTAGGGTCAATGTCATTCTGGGAACGAAATAGTAGGCCTGCCATTGTCAATTGAGGATTTCACCATATTTGCTGAGTTCGTGGGCTTCGGCCACGAAGTTGTCACTGCTGTGAATATATTGTAAGGCGTTGCTTGGGTCAATTACATCACCGAGTCTGCGGCACACCGGAGCCATGGTACGCACACCCGCCGAGAATCTCCGCGATCTCGTAACCCTGAATAATCTCGTAGTAAGTGCTTCGGTTTCAGAGCAGATTTTTTAGTGAGACAAATTCAATGGCGATCAGTTGCTCCCATGTTCCTGGTCGATCTGCAGCTGCTCATCGCTGCGCCTCCCCCGCCTCGGGATGAGCGATCTCGATCAGTCTCCGATCTCCAACCAATGCTTCAATAAAGTTAAAGCTGCATCTCGACAAGGTCACCTGGTCGGCAGGAACCGACAGCTTCATCTGATTAGCCTGATTGTCATAGTGTTGGCCTCAAGCTCCATCTTGGGTTGTCCTTCTCCCCGGACTTCTAATGCTGAGGAATGATGAGCTAATCGGACGCACCGATCTGGCATTTGGTCCAGGCATCGCCTAGACAAGGTCCGTCTGTTACACAAAATATCGATGATGGGTGGTGACGTCGAAGAGGCGATTAGCCTTCCCACCAGCTTTCCCGATTCAACATTTATAGGCCGACACTGTCCGTCGCAAAATGAAGCGCGAACCTTCTAATTTCGATTATAGATACATGAGCTTCATCAATTCTTTCTGACATACCTCAATAAGTGCCATTGATACCCACCATGCCGGCCAAGTACACCCGACTTGACATTGACAAATGCATATTCCTCTTCGTGGACCACCAGGTATTTTGCCATCTCAAAGTTTGATTGTACCCGTACTGAACTCTTTCCAGTCAGGTCTCATCAATCTCGTCCGCGACTTCCAACAACATGAATTCCAGAGGAATGTAATGGCCCTTGCCAAAGTCGCTCAGTACTACAAGTCTCCCAGTGTGTTGACCACCTCGTTCGACACCGGTCCCAATGGACCCATTGTCAAGGAGATCACCGACTACCTCCCGGATGCGCCCCTGATCCGCCGTCCTGGACAGATTAATGCAATGGACAATGAGGACTTTGTGAATGAGATCAAGAAGACCGGCCGAAAGCAGATTGTTATCAGGTCAGTCCAGCAGTTACTACACTACGTACACCGCTATCCACACGTGTATACCATCAAGCAAGTGTCACGCTAGAGCTAACCCGCATAGTGGCGTCCTGACTGAAATTTGCGTGGCGTTCCCCGCCCTCAGCCTCATCGAGCAAGGCTACGATGTGTTCGTGGTTACCGATGCCTCGGGCACATTTGCAGAACATACGCGCGAGGCAGCGCACAAGCGCATGGTAGCAGCAGGTTGTCAGCTGCTGAACTGGGCGGCTGTTGCCGGGGAGCTTCACCGCGATTGGCGGCGCGATATCGAGGGCTTTGGAGCTATCTGGACCGAGCATATTCCCGGATATTGGTGCGTGATGCAGAGTTACCAAGCAGCTCAGCAGGGCAAGGAGTAATTTTGACATTTCCTATTCTACTTACGCAATGTTATGATGAAACTGGATGTATCTACCACTGCTTGATAGCCTCACTTAATTCCATACTGGTTTTCACTTTTTGCACCTAGCTGCATGCAGCCTTGCGAAGGTGAGTTGCCTTTCCACTCACCTTGAATTCTTGCGCACGGCCCTCTTGGCCCTCACGCCATTCATGTAGCTTAACGGTTAGCAACGTCCAGTAGACCATGGAGGCTATGTATATGCGAAGCCACCTCCACCGCAAAACAGCCCAGCAACTAGTTACTCTGCCAGTTAGCTAGTTCTTGCTTCATGCTTTCTGAGCGGAGCCTTACCCTCCATTGTTCTTTTGCAACTGCAATTATTCTTAAGCTTCAAATGGACCCCCTCTCCACCGACACCATGCAGATATTCAAACGCATCTGGCCCTAACTATTCCCCGCCAAGCCCACCATCGCTGCAGACAATCTGCATTCCCATGCTGGTCGCGTCGTAATCATTACCGGTGATACCTACAGTCTGGATCTGGGTCTGGGTCTGGCGCACATTTTGCATCGTGCCGGATAATTCGACAATAACTCCGCCAGGCGAACTCATCTACACCCCCTCCTCTTTTCCTGTCCACCTCACCGAGCTTCCCGCCATCCCTATCTTCGGAAAATCATCCCTAGCCCGCTCAAACAGAGTAATCTTCCTCCTTAATAGCCCCGCTGTAGCATGTCTCATTCCAACTAAAACCACCACGCAAGGCCACGAACGCCATTTTGACATAAAGCTGCGCTGCCAGCTCCCTCCTCGCCTCTCTCCTTTTCCCAATTCTCGCCTCTATAGCTTAGACTCCATTTACTACATCCAACTCCGTCCGTGTAATCTTCACCTCCAGCACAGTCGTGGATTTCCTCGCTCGGACGGGCGGTGACCCGTCTTCGGCCCTCACTTCCTCCCCGGATCCCAACTCAGACACGAATACGAACTACACCATCAGCAAAACAGGCAACTGGTTCCTGGCGGCCCATTTCGCATCGACCCTTGGGTCGAATGGTGTGGTCAGCATTACTCAGAATCCAGGGAATATTGATACCTCGTTCTAGGGATGCAGGATCGGGATAGATGGGAAGGTTTGTGGGGTGAGGGTGTTTCGTTAGGTGGCTTTGTAATAGGGATCAGTATTATCATGTACACAGCTTCATACAATAGTGCAACGGAAATATGTTAGGTGATATTGATCTTTAGTCTCCAATCCTGATAGTAATCACTAGCTGTATTCTTGAAATTTGATATATCTTTTCTTTTACTACCACCCCTTAGCTGCCAGCTAACCATAAACAGTATCCATCTCCCCTATCCTATACGTTTGCCAAATACAATTATCATATTTCCATAGAATTCAATATGCACAAAAATGTTCTTTTACTACCACAAGGCACAACCCGCTCATGTGAATGTAAATATAACTTTGGTCCTGCAATTCACCCGACAATGGATGCCGTGGCTATGCTTTGAATGTGAGCTTGTTGATGGGATTCTGTAGATGGCGTTTCTATACTTTGCGCTCATGTCGAGCTAGATGAGTTAACCAATTATAATAATTGGTGATATATTGACGATTGTGAAATTGTGTACACTTCCCAGGAGATTCTTTTTTAAAGCCAGCACGTCTCAATTGGGAACATCTTCAAAGACAGGTGGCATATCGATATAGGCTTGATGATACTTCTCTAGCCACCCAGGGCTAACTGGGAAGTGCGTAAGCAAGATCCTGGATGTGACACATCTTATCGCAGCCAAACTCAAACTTTATCCTGACAAATATTCACTAAGATTAACTAATTACATATCGAAACTATATCCACACCATTAAGTATATACGTCTCCTCCCAAACCAACAAACTTTATACAACCCCTGATCACCACACTCACCTCCCCAAACATCACCTCAGCTCCCAATCATTACATCGTATTCAATCATTTCCAAGGCAACCCCTCCCCCTTACACGCATCAACCTCCCACTTCTCAAAGTACCAAAGATGGGCCTCGAAATGCAACAAATTCGGGAACCCAACATCCCCCCTCTTATCATCCCCATCCTGAAACACCACCACATCCTGCGTACTCACACTCTGATTATTCCCCGAGCTAATCCAATACTCAGGACTAATATGCTTGTACCCCATCACCTCCAACGGCACCCGGGGCACCGGATCATCAGTATGCGCAAAGCGGTAGTTCGCCCCCTTATTCTGATTCGTAATGAACTCAGCTAGTTTGGGGTTCGCTACGCGCGGCGATGCATACGCGTACAGCGTTGCGTTGAGCCCGTCGGTCTCGCGGATATCTGCCGCTGCGAGGGTCGCGATGGCGGCTCCCAAGGAGTGGCCTACGATGACGAGTTCGTAGTCGGGGTATTGGGATACTGTGTCGTTGAGTGTGGGGGTCAGGGTCTTGCGGACGTTTGTCCATGAACTCCAGAAGCCGAGCTCGGCTTCGCACCCGCTGCAGAGGTTGGGGTCCGTGTAGACGAAGGTGAAGTCCGCTAGCCAGCTGCGGATTGAGTAGCTGCCCCGGAAGGCGAGGATGATGGCGCGGTGGGTGTGGTCCACGGCTAGGTAGCCTGAAGTGTCGGTGGGGGTGGTACTAGGAGTTGGTTAGGGTTGTATTGGTGGAAGGAAGGGAGGGGAATGTACTTGGAGAAGTCGGTGATGATGGTTGCGTTGGACGCTTCGACTGCAGGGCAGTTCTGTGCCGAGCAGGTTATTTTGTGGCCTGCCTTGCCGGCATAGTTGGGCTCGCAGTAGGAGGCTGCGGCATATTGGACCCAGAAGGTAAAGGTGTCGAGTTGTTGAGTGGTGATGTCTGGAGTATCGGGGAATTGGTCAGTGTGGGAGAGGATTGAAGTTCTTTGGAATGTGCATTGGTACCTCTCTTCTGAAGAGCCCTGCCTGGGAGGGCATTGCAGCCGGCTATGGCGGATGCAGCCACGAGTAGGGACTTGAGGAGGCGCATGGTAATGATGATACTGGGCAGATGATTGACATTGTTACACAGGGCAAGTCGATCATACTTATGTCTTTGATGTGAAAAGTTTTTGTTCTGCCCAACGCTTTTCCATCACATGAACCAAAGGTAAAATCGGCGATCACATCCATTATCTTCAGCTGTACGGATCGAGCTGTGGGGGGGCTACTACATTCCTTCAGCTGGACTGGATTGTGGGACTACTAGCAAACCCCGAATTGCCGAGTCTAGGGGATGGCCTATCCCTGCCAGGGGTAGAATTGGAATTAGAATGCAACTATCGAATGTTTGCTTGTTTTTGGTTATCCGATCGACGATCGTCGACTATGGACAAATCACGGATCGGGATTGGCAGGGGGTGAACGGGGCACACGGGAGCGGCCCAAATTTAGGGCATCACGGAGGAGCAGGTGGGGACGATAGGTTTCTGCAGGCAGCCACTCACGAACTCCTCCATCCACGGTTCATTC